ATATTATCATATTTTTTGGTATGAACCGCAAGTTTATTGATATTAAAAGGGGAACCCATTTACATGTTCCATGACGATGCATTTGTTTGAAAACCTCAGGTTTTTATCTTGTTTTTCTTTGATACCTGGTCCTTCTTAGTGTGTGTTTCTACCACTATCGAGTGTGTTTCGTCATTTTTTTTTTTTATGTCTCTATTTTTAATTGTGCCGATTTATAGTGTATAATATAATAGAAATTTTTTGTTTATTATTATTATACGTAATTATATAGATTTTTTTATAATCATATTATTTATTTTTAATATATTATATTTTATATAGCATTCATTTTTAATTTATTATATCTTATTATTAGGAATATCAACTAAAAAAAGTACGGTCGGTGTTTATACTAGTCCTGCAACGACTACACCCGACTCCTCTGCTCCAGTGACTTTTGATTTCAACTCCTCACTCTCTTGCTTTGTAGAACACGACTATCAGGTTTTTGAGCCATCTCTAAAAACAAAAAGTGCACCTGCAGCTTCAGTCTCGATTCCACCTCATTTCGCTATTTCCACCTCCTCCTCCACACCCAGGAGAGTTGATGTTTCATATTCCTCAGACTCACTATTACCTCTCTTCATCTTCACTACTTTGCCTGCAAAAGCTGCATCTTCTTCCGTTCATCAGAGTCTCCTCAATGACAGTGTAGACTCCTCGTCCAGTAGCCCATGTCAAAATAGTTCTTCCTCGGTGCATTACTGGTACATTCAGATTCTGGAATGGCGTAGTAAGCTTCTGGTGGAAACTTAAACAGTAAAAATCTTCTATGCTCCATGGGTCTGGTTGAGCATACTTGCGAGGCTCTTTCTCAAACGATGAAGCATCTTGTTCTCGATGCTCAGAAGGAACCTCGATACACGTCTTTGTTTTTTCTTCATCTCCTGCCACCACTGTGCCTGGATCTTGCATGAATTGCAGCTCAGCATGTTGTGTAAGCGTCTCCATCAAGCTATTCTTGTCTGCCTGCTCCCTCACTGAACCAGATTAATTCCTCCACCAGACAGGGTAGTGCTTATTTGCTTTGGAACAAGCTAAAGCTAATATAGTGGATCCTCCGCACGGTCTCAATAAATGCTGCTCGTCTTCCCTCTCTCTCAAGGCATCACTGGCTCGCTTTTTCAACCTTGAGCAAAAAAACAATCGTTGGCAGGAAACGATTAAATCAGTAGAGAGGCTGGAGCGAGAGTCTGCCTCTGCAGATTGCTGCCAGGTCCCGGACGATACTCTACCCACTTCCTAAAGCAGTCCGTGTGCGATACTGAGGGAAAAACTCTAATCTTAATTGAATGATGTTCACTTGCCAGATAGTCGCGTTGGCTTTTGAGGTGGGCAACAAAGATTAAGGCCACCACACAGTGCAGGCGAGATGATTAGTGGAGTAGATCTCTTTGACTGCAAGTGAGAGACCCGTGACGTTCAGGTTGAGGAAGGAAGGGTGGCCTATGCTGAAATGGGGCCGATACTAATCTCTGTTAAGAATCTAACTGCTATCCCTGGAGGGGAGTATGGGATGACCCCAGAGGCTGTGTCTATCTGCGCAGAGTCGCCAACAACCCAAATCCGAAAAAAGCTGGACAGATGGACGAGGCAGAGAGGCTGGAAGAAGCAGTGGAAGGCGCACAACAGCGCGAACCGAGTAGAATGGAACAATACCACAACGGAACCACTTCTACGACCGCACGGAGCCGAGAAGGACAGAGTTCAGTTTGCTCTGGAGTGAGTCAAGGAGAAAGTGGTAATTTCATTATCCTTGAAGAAGTTGGAGAACTGCAAACAACCACTCTAGAGGAGGCATGTATTCTTAGTGTTGTGAGTTCTTCTGTACCTTACTGTAGCTTGATGATGAGGATCCAGCGGTGAGAGATTGGCGTTGCAGAGGCCAGGCTGATCGGTGTGGGCTGAAGCAACTGCTGTGTACAGTGTAAGCGTTCGGAGGAATAGTGGGGAGTTGAGAGGGTTAAGCAGTGTACGGCTGGGGAACTGAGTGGTTTAGTAGTCTTTATCACCTCTCCTGAGGTGCTCATAGAAGGAGGACGTTGTGAGTGGAGATAAGAGCCTCTCGACGACAACGCCTTGGAAGTTGTCCTCCTGGTCGGGTGCTTACCACAATCTATGAACTGACAGTAGGGATAAGGAGAGGATAGAGGAGCAGTGGTATGGATAAGCAAAGGTGGTGCAACTGAAAGACGGTAGAGCAACTGTCCTCTCTAAATCAAGGTTGGCTCCACAGTAAAGGCAGGTGCTACTGCAGCTCGAGAACACAACAGACATGAGAGGACCACAAACGCAATGAGAGGTTACCCGGGCTGAGGGGAGTGCTGTTCGCGTGCAATCTCGCGCAGGAGACCAACCTTGAAAAGACCGCAGTTGACTAAGCTAACCGTCTCGAGGTTGCCGACCCATCATCACTGCTCCCTCTTACCTCCCTCGCTCACTTTTATCCCATCTGTGTCAGAACACTAGTGCGTGGCCCTGACGACCCGACCGAGGAGGAAAGCGCACCACAACTTCCAATGGCGGTTAGTTTCCCGCCCTTGCGACCATCCACTCATAAACAACAGTCCTCTCGTTCCTAGAGCCATCTCAGGAGTATCATAAGATACCAACTTACAACCGCCTTCGTTCAACCGCCCGAAGACCGGTTCACTCTCAACTGACAAACACACTCTTCTGAGAACTCACCCAAACTATTCCTCGAAATACCGCTAGGCAGTTCTTGTAGTGATAGTCAGGGGCCTTACAAGTAACGAGTCGAGCGCGTGACCATAACGGAACAGACAATGCAAACGCCATATTTCTCTCACCCGCCTAAGGTTCGTCCAACCAGATTCATCGAGCGATGCGCAATACAGTCCAGGAGCGTACAAGACTCACAACTAGAAAACATGCCTCCCCAGACCCGAAGCTCGACGCAAGTTATGTTTTCTCCAAACTAACGCAAGGAAAACTATGTCTCAGATTGATCCACGTCCAAGAGCAAACAATGGATAGACATAGTTATCTCCCTTAGGTCTTCCTCGTAGAGTCTGCTCGAGTGAGTTCCGTGGGTAGTCACTACCGGTCCCGTTTCCCTGCTCCAGCCTCTCTGCCTCGTCCATCTGTCAGCTTTTTCGGATTTGGTGGGGTCTCGCAGAAGACACAGTCTCTGGGTCATCCCCAATATCCCCTCCAGGATAGCAGTAGAGCTTCAACTGAAGTATCGCCCCACAGCATAGCCCCTTCCCCTCAACCAACGTCACCTCTTCCTTGCAGTCAAAGAGACTACTCTATCATCTGCAATGCACTGGTTTCTTATCTTGTTGCCCACCTCAAAGCCCACGGACCATCTGGCAAAGCGACCTCATTAACGAAGAGTTTCCTCCAAGAGAACGGACTGCCATGGGAAGTGGGTAGAGTACTCGTCCGGGACCTGCCAGCAATCTGCAGAGGCAGACTCTCGCTCCACCTCTCTGACGATGATTTAATCGTTTCACTGCCACGATGTTTGCCAAGGGAGAGAAGCGAGCCAGTGATGCCTGAGAGAGGGGAAAGACGAGAGCAATTGAGACCTGCGGAGGATCCCACTATAACTGCTGTTCCAGAAGCAAAGCATCCCTCTGGTGGGGAATTAACTGGTCAGTGGGGAGCAGGAGACAAGAAAGCATGGGCCACAACAGCTGAGCTGCAAATTCATGGCAGATCCAGGCACAGTGGTGGAGGAGATGAAGAAAAACAAAGACGTGTATCGGAGGTTCCTTCTGAGCATCGAGAACAAGATGATGGAGAAGAGCCTCAAGATGTACCAGACCCTGGCATAGAAATTAGTAGTTCACCAGAGCTTACTACCCATTCAGAATCTGAATGTACCAGTAATCCAACCGAGGAAGAACTGATTGACAGTGGGCAACTGGACGAGGAGTCTACAGCTGTCATTGAGGAGACTCTGATGAAGGAAGAAGATGCAGCTTTTGCAGCAAGTAGTGAAGATGAGAGAGGTAATAGTGAGTCTGAGGATATGAACATCACTCTCCTGGGTGTAGAGGAGGAGGTGGAAATCGAGACTGAAGCTGCAGGTGTCACTGTAGAGATGGCTCAAAAACCTGATAGTCCGTGTTCTACAAAGCAAGAGAGTGAGGAAGTTGAAACAAAAGTCACTGGAGCAGAGGAGTCGGGTGTAGTCGCTCTACTAGAGATGGACTCTGAGATTGGAACTCTTCAGGTAGCAGTTACTGCCCCAGGGACAGAAACGGAGCCTGACAAGGCTCAACAGACAGCAGTAAATAAAACAGTGGAGGAGAATGCTCCACAGACACCAGAGAATGAACTGATTGCTCCACAGACAGCAGTGGAGGAAGAGAATGAAGTGACTGCTCCACAGACAGCAGTGGAGGAAGAGAATGAAGTGACTGCTCCACAGACAGCAGTGGAGGAAGAGAATGAACTGATTGCTCCACAGACAGCAGTGGAGGAAGAGAATGAAGTGACTGCTCCACAGACAGCAGTGGAGGAAGAGAATGAAGAGAATGCTCCACAGACAGCAGTGGAGGAAGAGAATGAAGTGACTGCTCCACAGACAGCAGTGGAGGAAGAGAATGAAGTGAATGCTCCACAGACAGCAGTGGAGGAAGAGAATGAAGTGACTGCTCCACAGACAGCAGTGGAGGAAGAGAATGAGAGAATGCTCCACAGACAACAGTGGAGGAAGAGAATGAAGTGACTGCTCCACAGACAGCAGTGGAGGAAGAGAATGAAGTGACTGCTCCACAGACAGCAGTGGAGGAAGAGAATGAAGTGACTGCTCCACAGACAGCAGTGGAGGAAGAGAATGAACTGATTGCTCCACAGACAACAGCGGAGGAAGAGAATGAAGTGACTGCTCCACAGACAGCAGTGGAGGAAGAGAATGAACTGATTGCTCCACAGACAGCAGTGGAGGAAGAGAATGAAGTGACTGCTCCACAGACAGCAGTGGAGGAAGAGAATGAAGTGATGCTCCACAGACAGCAGTGGAGGAAGAGAATGAAGTGACTGCTCCACAGACAGCAGTGGAGGAAGAGAATGAAGTGACTGCTCCACAGACAGCAGTGGAGGAAGAGAATGAAGTGACTGCTCCACAGACAGCAGTGGAGGAAGAGAATGAAGTGACTGCTCCACAGACAACAGTGGAGGAAGAGAATGAAGTGACTGCTCCACAGACAGCAGTGGAGGAAGAGAATGAAGTGACTGCTCCACAGACAGCAGTGGAGGAAGAGAATGAAGTGACTGCTCCACAGACAACAGTGGAGGAAGAGAATGAAGTGACTGCTCCACAGACAGCAGTGGAGGAAGAGAATGAAGTGACTGCTCCACAGACAGCAGTGGAGGAAGAGAATGAACTGATGCTCCACAGACAGCAGTGGAGGAAGAGAATGAAGTGACTGCTCCACAGACAGCAGTGGAGGAAGAGAATGAACTGACTGCTCCACAGACAGCAGTGGAGGAAGAGAATGAAGTGAATGCTCCACAGACAGCAGTGGAGGAAGAGAATGAAGTGAATGCTCCACAGACAACAGTGGAGGAAGAGAATGAAGAGAATGCTCCACAGACAGCAGTGGAGGAAGAGAATGAAGTGACTGCTCCACAGACAGCAGTGGAGGAAGAGAATGAAGTGACTGCTCAACAGACAGCAGTGGAGGAAGAGAATGAAGTGACTGCTCCACAGACAACAGTAGAGGAAGAGAACGAAGTGACTGCTCCAAAGACAACAGTGGAGGAAGAGAATGAGGAGAATGCTCCACAGACACCAGTGGAGGAAGAGACTGCTCCACAGACACCAGTTGAGGAAGAGACAAAAGAGAATGCAGCTCTGACTTTGGATACTGAAGCAGCTCTACCACAGGCAGTAGTTCAGGAAGATGAAGTGTCTAAAGTCACCACTCAAGAGAAGAAATTGAAGTCCTCTCCACAGACGGCAGATACTGTCGTGGTGGTAAAAGCTGACGAGACGCGTACTTCACCAGCAAAAGCTAAAAGGAAGCCCTGTGAAGTTATAGTCAAAGAACTGACCGTTAAGTCGAAAAAATTTCGTCCACGTGCCACAAGGCAGCACTCTCCAACACCACAAGAAATACTGACCGACAGGCAGTTGGGAGTTTTAGTTGCCTGCCTCACACTGGTCGGTGGCCACTCACACCTCTGGAAGCTGGGGCATGCCTACAGAACAGAGTGCAGTAACAATGCCTTCCTAACACTGAAACAATTTGCCTCTTGCCCTGAAGTATTGAGGCTAAATGGTAATAGCTGTGTTTTCCTACGTTCTGACGTTGAGGTCGAAAAGGCTGTGACCCCAGTGAGCCTGAAGCCTGAGACAGAGGAGGTAATGCGGATGTGTCAGGATCACTGTAACAAAGAGGGGAGGAATATAGGAGGGACTCTTAGGTATAAATACACCAGGCATGACTCCCTGGCCAAAGGCAGGAGAGTGAGCGAAGCAGAGAGTGGTAAGGAGGGAGAAAGGCAAAGGAGAGAGAAGTCGCACACTCCTGTCTGCACGAGAAAGAGCTGGGAATCTGGAGAGTTTCGTCGTCATAGAAGACGATCATTGTCCCCCCACTTCCCGAGAGACGTCAGGTCACCAAAGAACCCTGGCCACATTTGCCATGTACTGAAATTCTACACTGACTTTTTTGCCACCAGAACTGAGCCAATTCTCTACTCAGACCTGCTTCATGAGTATGTCTCCGCCACACACCTCCCCAGTGAGTTCTACCTTCCCTCTGACCTCCTGAAGTACGACTTTGACGTGTATCGCAAGGACAACAAGCGGTACATTCGTCCTCTAATGCAAACAGAAAACACCCCCCCGCCTGTTTCTGCCGACAGAGTGACGAGCAAAACGGGCACAACTGAGGGCACTGCAGCCGACAAGCAGGAACCCACTTGTGAAACAGAAAAGGCTAAGAGGTCCAGAAGCTCTAGTAAGCTGAAGTCCAAAGCTGCTAGTAATTTCAAATCCAAGAGGGATAAAGACGTGTCTGGTTCTACGGCAGCCACAAAGGAGCAGAGTCCTACCAAACCAGTACCTGTCTCTCAGGCAGAAGATGAGCACGAGCAACTGCTCCCTTCCACTCCATACAATTCTATGAGCCCTACTCAACCTGGTCACTCTGATCACATCCTCAAGTTCTACACAGATCTGTTTGCCAAGTGTGGAAAGCCACTGCCAGTGAGGGGCTTTTCTAGTCGCTACATTAGACGGTACTTAATGCCCAAGGGGTATTGCATCCCGCAGTCATTGTTCAAGAACAATTTTCATTTCTTCCGAAAACGTGGAATGGGGTATTTCTGCCCACGATTGTGGAGAGAGGGTCGTAGGGAGACGCCTAATGTGTCTCCAGTCAGCAGAGACCCTCTTCCACTGACAGAGGTGTGGGGAGAGGAGAGCAGGGAGCCGCCACCTGTTGCTCCAGTCACCAGAGACCCACTTCCACTGACAGAGGTGTGGGGAGAAGAGAGCGGTGAGCCAGACACTGGACTGGGTACTAGTCAGCCTCTGGAGAAAGCTGGAGAGGAGAAGGATAAAGATGGACCAGTTGATGTTGATGGAGGAATAAAGGAAGGTGGAGGTGAGGTGGAGAGGGAGGGGGGCGAGGAAGGTGATGGTAAGTTCTCTGGGCCAACAATGAAGAACCTTCCTCATGGAGGATGCCCTCTAACTGTGGAGCTGGAGACCGATCCGCAGCCCGAGGAAGAACACAACTGAAGAAATATTCATCTTCAACAGTGTGAGATAAAAGTACTAACCTACTAGGTAGTTTGCAGCCGTGAATTTCATGTCATTATCATTATCAACTTATATCATTTATCATCCTCCGTTCATTCATCCAAATCAGTTATTATTTTATGAGATTTTAATACGTCACGAATCATGTCCAGAGGTTGTTCTGCGCGTGCGCGAACTACGCAATAAAACCGAGCCTCTCCGCTGCGAGCCTGCGATCGAACCGTCTATAGTGTCATCGATCATGAAAGGCCGTCTAGTACTCTTTTTGGTTCTGTATTACATTTTAACCTCCGTGAGATGGTCGTTTGCCCAGCGTGGTAAGAAAAGCACCATTAGTCCCAATGTCGCCGCTACACTTTCTTTGATCGCAGATTGCGAGTTTTACTACTCGGAGCAACCGCCGGTCTCCCTGAGCTGCGATCCCTACGAACAGAGAGAACTCAAGATGGAGTGTACAGTGCACGGACCAGTCCGCGCAGAGTTTGATCTGGTGTGGTTTAGCGCGGTTCTCGGGCCTGGGGGAGCTGACGACACTGTCGGGCTGCAGGAGATCCTGGGAGACAATCCTCCGGTCTCTATGATGCAAAACAGCAGCAACGTGACCATAAGGTTCCAGTTCAATCAGGTCGGTGCAGTGAAGAGCATTCGATCGCGGCTCGAGCTGCAGCTGAACCGAGAGGTCTCGGCTTATGATACTGCATTCTGGTGTTCTGTTCTCGCCCGACCTATAAATGCTACGGACGACGGCGGCACTGGCTCCATTGCAAACAATTTTCCAAGAGCGCTTCCAAGCGAAGTGTTCATTCTCCGCGTGGCTGACGTTTACACTGACCTCCCTGTTTGCGGAAGCACTCCTCAGTCAGTGGAGAGACAAAAGTGTGCCACTGTAATCAGTCCCTTGCTCCAACCTGCAGCTACACCTTCTCATACTTCTCTCACTACACAAACACAACACTACTCAGTAATGTTTGCAACTAGCTCCTATGGGCCATCAGTGGTCCCCTCCTCCAGTGGGATTGTGATGCCAACCACGGTACCAAGTGAGCCTCCACTTGAAGACCTGAACGAGGGCCACACTGGACTGAATGCCATTGTATTCCCGATCCTGGGGGTTCTGACCGGTGCATTCTTCACTCTTTCTCTCGTGGCCTGCCTCTACCTGTGGTGCCACTACAGACAGAAGAAAAGTGAGACTCCATTCATTTTGCTGAATGCTTAGCTTGCCAGTGTTCTGCACACATATTGCATTCCTCTCAGAAAACATTTTTAACACTTACTTTCAAAATCGTACTTGTGCGCATGAGTGCAAGCTTTGCTGGCTTTGTGTTCTAGTGTTTTGCATGGAGAATGATATTATAAGTCTTGGCTGCAGTAGGTCTCCTCACAACACAATTACGAACAGTAGAACCAATTTGCAATGTCCTCTGTATATAATCAATTTGAAATTCTTTTGCCTTTTGCTGTGGAGGCCTCGTGGTGTTGCATGGTGTTGCATGTGTTGTGGTTTATGACTGAGAGGCTAATTATATAGTTGCCACTCAGGCCCTCTCAGCTGGCTGGCACCGCTCCCCCCTCACCTGACCATGCGTTCGTGCCTTTCTCAATCACTCTGTGGGATTGCACGATTGCGTTACCTCCACTCTAAAAATCATTTATCCCCTCACAGATGGTGAAGTGGCTCGTAAACGGACAGTTGAGGCCACCTTTCACACATACTCATCCCCAAGTACACTCTCCTCATACCAGATGAAGGGGCTCAGTAGAATGGGTCGTGGTGGGTCCCTCGCCTTCTGGCCCTCCTCCACCTCTCTTCCATTGGCCCACAGAGCTCGCAGCCACAGACTGGAGGAGCCTCAGGACGCCAGTGCCTGTTCCCACGACCAGTACGTGGAGATGGCAGGAGTGAGGTGCCAGAGAACCGCCAGTCACTCCTCTTGCCCCACTCTACAAAGAACCAGCGGTGCCCCCGTGTCTCTCAGCGAGTGTGGAAGCATGAAGCTGGGATTCTCATATGAGGTGCCTGTTCCGTTTCTGGAGCCCGAGTATGCGTCGATCTCTACTCCATACGTCCCGTACCTGGTACCAGTCCCGTGCAGCTTGGAATCGGGCCTCCAGAACCGAAACTCTCGTGTACATCGACAGCCGTCTACACGGAGTCATCGTGAGGTCTACATTGGAACACCCGGTGTGGTCCCCCAGCTGCACCATCCCTCCATGTCGGCCCCTCCATCTCCCACCAGTCATCACGATTATGAGGAGCTCATTCACACCACAGCCAACAAGGCCTACTGCGAGCTGAAAGTTGCAGCAGACGAGAGGGACTCTGGCTGCTACACTCCTCCGGTTCCACTCCCCCAGCCTAGTACCAGAACAGACTATACAATTCTCCATAACTGCACCGAGGAGAAATGACACACAACACATAGTCACCCACACCGCCCATACATTTCCAGATGTGCACCACATTTTTATGTTTAATTTGGCTCATTTTTGTTCATTTTGTCCCTGTACATTCCGTTTAATATTAAGTTAAGTTATTCTACAAAAATGATCAAGTCAAACCGATGCCATATATATGTGGAGCTGACTATTTGAAATATTCCTAGAAAAGGCAATGTGGTAGAGTCATAGAGATGCTGCGTGTAGAGTTGAGTCAGCCAGACTGGCTAGTTGCTCCGCCTCTCCCGTCACCTGAGAGGTCAGGTGTGAGCCTAGTCTCCACACCTTCACCACGCCACTAGCATCTCCACTGGCAAGGACCTGAGGCCTGGAGGAGGGAGAGAAGAGATAGCGAGAGACAGAGAATGGGAGAGAGGGAGGGAAAGGGGGACTGAAAAGAGAGAGGGTCGGGGTATAGTGGCATAGACCTATGAAAAAATTTATTACTGCCATGGAGCCTGCACCACCGAAGGCCTGATCAAGTTACTCCATTCACATTCCTCCCAAACCACCAATGTCTGTATGTGGCAGTAGCTCTGACCTCTGAGAGTTGTACTGAAGACTGTAGACTGGTCTGTGGTGGGGACTGGCATCCAACAGAACACTTGGCTTGACGTGGCTCACCTGTAGCACCATATTCACCTGTTTAATGCTGTTAGGGAGTGTTGTTTGGGGGCGTACTGTGAGATCATAGAGGAGGAGATGTCCGTCAGCTGAGCCTGCAGCAAACACCAGAGGTCTGGAGGGAGACCACTGGACACTGAACAGATAGCCACAGCCAGGCTCCACGGACAGCAGGGGACTGGACTGGGAACACACACACACACACAGAGGTCCATAACAGGAAATACAGCAAGTTCAATAACTTTCGCATGCACATCATGTTGTCAGAAATATCAAATTTCCTACACTGGTGTACCACCACACTACGTGTACTGAAAAGAGAGATCAACAGAGAGAGTTTGAGGATCCCCTCACATCCAGGAGGGAGTGGAGTCTGACAGAGGAATCGGTGCTGGCAGTGAGCAACAGGTTGCGGTGGAATGGAGAGCAGTCACAGCCATACACTGGACCAGCATGAGGCCGAAAGGCAAAGGTCACTGGAGACCTCATGTCTATACCACGACCTGCACACACAAGAGAGGGCAAACACTCTGGAAGTTAAGGTAAACGGCGTAATGAGGTAAAGATGATATTATGCACACAGAATCATTTGGAGGCGAGGGATGAATAAAACAGGTCCGCAATGGCTTCTAGGCAAATCTTTGTCCACCCACATTCCTTCCTACTTGTGTCAGATTATATGACTTGATGAAGTGTTAGATCTGATCGGGAAGCCATTGCAGGCACATTATTTCCATCTACTCGTCACCTCACGATGATTCTGTGTGCACAATATCATATTTTACACATTAAGTGGCGGTGGGTGAGTGACATTTGATACGTCCAGAGAAGGAGAAGGAAGGGGGTGCGAGGGGCAGGGAGAGAGGGTGTGGGAGAGAGGTATGTCCGAGGAGGGATGTGGGCTGCTCTGTTTTACTTGGGAACATTGCTTTTTAGGTTAGTGGAGTAGTACGTGACCCAGTGGTGGGCAGGACAAGGAAATTTCTCCCAAACTATTTACTCCCCACAGCAGCTGTGTACAGACAGGCCAGGCAGTCAACAGAGAACTCACCAGGAGCGCTGTCTGTGTTGGGGTGGAGCGAGCATTTGAGTATGCACCCATTCTCGCAGCCCACTACTGCCAGGGAGCTGTCCTCACATGGAAATGACAGGGCAGTTCCTGCAGGGAAAGCAGTGCATTTTACCGTTCTTTCTATACACACTGACTACAGTTTTAAACTCAACACACAGATCATAACCAAATCTTTGCACTGTAACATTAGACTACACGGACTGAGCCAACCTCCAATGAGGGTGTCACCGCGAGCTCTGCCTGCCCTGAAGTTGCGAGGAACGCTCTCTGCTGTCAGTCTGTACCCGGAGACCAGTGCCAGTTGCCGGCTCTGTTTCGCCCAGCGCCACACCAGGAGAAGACCATCGCTGCCGAGAGTGAGCAGTCGATGAGGGCTCAGCTGTCTCTCCTCCTGGGGTGCCCCCACCCAACACACCTGCAGTAAGGATGTCACTACTTTTATTCTTTCAGTTTAGCACTCATTAAGATTTTGAAGACTTAAAGCACTAATGTGCAAACATCTTCAAATGTGTGGTTGTGAGATTAGATGTAGCAGACAGGCAGAAATAAATATCTCAGAAGCCATCTTCAATTCATGGAACTTGCAGAAACTGTACTGAAATAAAAAGCAAAGGGGAGTGGCTGACTCGTGAGAGAGGTTCTCTGTGTCCAGAGTCAGTCAGTCCAGAGGAGGCCAGCAGTGGATCTCCCTCACTCCCACACTTCCACACCATCACCTCTCCTAGAGATAGAGAGTGTGTGCATTTGTTTACATGTAGGTTGATGCAAATCAGGTTGAATTCCGAGTGTTGGTAGTCTGAGGGGATTTGATCAGGGACAGAAGCCCTGTGGTGAATGTGGTGTGTGGGCCTTTGGAGAGGTGTGCATTATACAACCAGCAGATACCTGAGAATAGACCTCCTGCCACCACTGCTGGCTGGTCGGGATGAAAGGAGAGGCACATCACACAACTCTGTGTGTGTGTGTTTAGTCAAAAGGTGCCGCACAACACCCAACCCAACTCACAGGTGTATCAATGCTAATGTGTGCCCTCTCCTTGTCGATGGATTTCCGGTCCATGTTCCACATACACAGCAGGGACTGTCACCAGAGTTTGTGTGCCAGGTGATCAGTGAAAATGATCACTGAAATTGAATACCTTGTGTGTGCACCAGTGTTCGTGGTCAAAGCGGCCAAATCTATGTGCCCAGTCAGGGAACTACAAAGGTGGTATTTGGAAACAAACACACGCAACTAAAAATCTAGAGGTGTGTCTGGTTGTTGTCTAGATAAGAGGGTGATTACACCTACAGCAGTGCATCACGCAAGCTGTGCAGAAAAGATGGGGAGGGGTGTTAGGCTCCACAGATGAGAGTCCAGAAAATGGAGGAGTGTGGATACGAAGCTCCCAGTACAGACCCAGTGCAGTTCCAGGCCAGTCCGGTGCAGGGAAACTTAGAGAAAAAACCAGAGAAAATGAGAATGATCGCACAACTAAATTTAGCCATGTACCTCTGAGTTGAGAGAGGCTTCATTGAGAGTGTGAACACAGGTAGTTCCCTTTGCCTCCTCCTCCAACTCCACCCAGTAACCTTATGGACCAATTCTCACTCGTTACACAGAGAGAGGGGGGGGGTTCATTTTCACCATCGAATGCTGAACTCGCTGCATTCTGCTTCAGTTGCTGCAACACGAACGGCTCCACTCTCTTCAGAAACTTCTTCAGTGGCTGTGAGCAGTAGTACAGTGAGAGCTAGCAAGAGACAGAGAGGGGAGGGGCACGTACGTACCGCTGAGTTGTCCACCACCACAACTGGAGGTCTACCTGGCTCCGGCTCCGTCTGTACCTGGCCGGGAATGGATGACTATTCTCAAGAGAGAGAGAGACAAAGTTGTGGTAGGAGATGCTCACTGCTACGGAGGATGGTCTGGAGGTCTGTGTCTCGGCGTCGTTGGCGAGAACCTCGCTGGTCTGAGTGTGCGCATCTGCAGACGACCTACACACGGAGTTCTGTAGTCACATGTGCCGAGGGACAGAGAAACCAACTTCTCTTTCTTCCAGGAGGAGGGAAACTCGACTACCTCGAGGCTGTAATCTTGAAACATGCTGTACTTTTCCGCCGCTGGCACTGTTGGTGTGCTCCTATTAGAAATCTCTATGGATACAGCGCCAGCGGCGGTCATGCGCACAGGCAAAGCTTTCTCGGCGATAGGAATGGTGACAAGTGGACGACAGACACACGCATAAATACACACACACACAAAGTAGTGCTAGCTCTCTTCGCTGCTCGAGTCGTCCATGAATTTGCCAATGTCGGCAGGGGAGGAGGGAGGATGAGAGAAGGCAAGGGGGCAGAGAGAGAAAGGTCCAGGGTGACATCAGGGGTCAGAGAGGGCAGCTGGTGAGGATCTGCAACCAGTGAACCATCAACCAGCCTCTTTTTTGTCTGTTTCTCCTCACCTTTTGCTTTTGTCTGTGCAGGCGGGGGTTGCGCTGTCTTTGCAACCTTTGGTCGTTTGGCCTCACTAGTTAGAGGGTTTTCCCCATCACTCTCCCCACTACTCCAGGAGCTGGTCGAACTGAGGGCAGGAAGACCCACAGCTGCAGAACTGGCAGCCACTGCTGGAACTGACTTTGTTACCACCAGCTGAGAGAGGGTTGGCTAATTCTGATAATTCCCCCGGCTACACATTGACAACCTTAGTTACAGCTGTTGTCGTAGTTGCTACTTTTGTCTTCTTGTTCTTCTGGCTCTTTCCTTTGGTCTTGTTAACTCTGCTAGCACCACTGGCCACAGTCTTTCTCTTCTGCTGTTGTAAATTAGTCTCCAGAGCCTGCAGCAAGAATAGATACAGAGACATTAGCTATTACAGCAGGCTGGCCAGCTCCCTAACAGTCTTGGTGATGTGTTTGCTGCAGAGAGGTTGGTTGAGGAGGATGTCAGGTACAGTGGCACCACAGACCCCACTGCCTGGCTCTGAGGCTGTGCACGTGGCAAACAGTACCTGGTCCTGATCACTGGAAACATCTGCAGAAGAAAACATACAACACCCAGCCCTTCCTGTGAAATGTGACATACGATGCAGGCAGAATCTTGAGAAAGGTAGAGCCCTCTTGCCACAGCCACTCTCAGCACACCTGACACAGTCACTGGGTACCACTTCCTCCAGTCTGGGGGCTCTGGGCATGTGTCTGGAGAGGACACACGCCGCAGCACTTGGACTCTCTCTCGTAGACTGCACACCAAATCAAACGAGAGCAGATTACTGTTAGCAAGGGTGGGAACTTGTACTGGCACATACCTGCATGAGTATCTTCACGCCATTCTCGGCCTCCTTCCTCTCTTTCCCTGCCAGGTAGAGAGCTCTGCGGAGAGCGGCAATCTTCCTCAGGAGAGGTCCTTCCATTTTACTGGGCCAGCTCTCCTCATGCCTGAAGACAGATGTATTGTAGAGTGGTGAATCACAATCCACAGTGTCACCAAACCCGTTTTCTCCACATTCTGCATCTGTCACGGTTTCAACAGGGGGTACAATAACTGGATATCTCTCTCTCTGCCTCCGTAGCTGTGACAAACGGCGTTGTCACGAAGGCAGTGTCTGATTGCAAGATAGTCCTTACCATCCACGGCCACCTCGTGTTCTCTTCGTCTGAGGTAGTCTTCCAGCTCTCTCACGTGTCTCCCCCTTCCCCGAACGGATGGAACCACCGCATCGTAGTCAGTCTGCAGTTCTCGAGTCGGTGGAAAGCGGTACAATTTCGCCGAGCTCCCGCTTGCGGCCGCCATTTTTTGTTCCACAACCGCGACATGCGTACAAATCAGCGCATGCGCATAAAGTTGCAAAATCAGCTGTCACATTTCTCCACATTGAGTGATAACAACAGGTAGTTTGGGTCTGCTGTTGGCTCCAACTGGGATGTTCTCTATCTTCCTGACTATCAACAGTCCGTCCACCACCTTCCCAAACACCACGTGTTTCCCGTTGAGAAATTCGCACTTGGCACAAGTGACGAAGAACTGACAGCCATTGGTAGCAGGTCCACTATTGGCCATGGAGAGGAGACCTGGATGGTCGTGTTTCAGTTTGAAATTCTCATCTCCAAAAGAGGGTCCGTAGATGCTTGCAGACCCAGTTCCATCTCCCTTGACAAAATCACCTCCTGGACGATTAGAATATTAATTCAGGGGGATGTATACGACTTGATTTGTTCACCTTGCACCATGAAATCTTTGATGATGCGGTGAAAAGCTGCTCCCTTGTAGCCCCACTGGAACTCCGTCCTTACGAAACTCTCCCGTGCAAAACTGGCGGAAGTTTTCTGCAGTTTTTGGTACGACGTCTGCAAAGAGCTCCATCTTGATGCGCCCCACTGCCTGCCCGCCGATTGAGATGTCGAAGAACACCACTGGATTGTCTGCCGCCATGCTTGGTAATATACGCATGCGCAAATTGACTCGGTTTTGAAAGTGCAAAGGTCAGTAATAACGAAGAGGGCGGAGAGACGAACTGAGGAGAGGCAGAAGCTGCGGGAAGGAGAGAAGGAGTCATTCGATATGTCGGTCGACTTCAAGAAGAATCAGGCCGCGCTAAAGGCCGCCTACAATGACGTATTGAGCAAGTCGTCAGACGTCAACTGGTGAGCCTCTCGCTGGCTCTGCAGTCAAACCCTAATCTATCCCGTATGCACTTCCAGGGCCGTGTTTGGCTACGAGGGAAACACGAACGTGCTGAAAGTGGTGGAAACTGGAGGTACACACTGACATTCTCTGCACTAACAGCGAAGTTTTGATTACTGCTGGTCTGTCTGTGTGTGTGTGGTACCCACAGATGGAGGTCTGGATGAGGTGGTGGATGAGATGAATGGAGGGAAAAATCTGTATGTCTTCATGAGAGTCACAGACCCCAACACACAGCTGCCCAAGAATGTCCTCGTGAACTGGGTACACAAGGCATCCTCAGTAATGTGTGGCATGACCATGTTTGGAAGTGTTCTGAGTGTGTTGGTTTTCGTGTCCACTCACAACCAGACAAGGGTTGGGAGAGAGTAAGTGTAAACATGATCCATTCACTTGTGTCTGTCTCCCACAGCAAGGAGAAGGTGTCCCTCCCTCACGGAAGGGTGTGTGTGCTCGTCACACTCACGACGTTGCAACCTTCTTTAGAGTGAGTTCTGCCAGTGTGTCACGGTGTGATTGTGATCCTCTCTGCCATCTTGCAGGGAGCCCATGTCACCATCAATGCCAGGTCAGAGATGGATCTGGAGGAGGACTGTATTCTCGGCAAGGTGGCCAAGGCCTCAGGCGCCAACTTCAGCTTCCACAAGGAGAAGGCCAAACCAATGCCTGAGGCAGGACCAGTGGTAAGTTGGTCCCTCTCTTCATCCTCTCGCCTTATCCTACTGGCTGTGTGGTGTAGGGGTCAGTGTTCCAGAAGGCGAACCCAAGAGCAGACATTGATGCGAGGGCCAGAGATCAGTTCTGGGTCAAGCAAGAGGTGAGACTGGATCAGTCACTGACGACCGACGACAGCCAAACCTTGTGTGTGTTCTGGTGTTCAGAAAGAGGAAGAGCAGCGCAGGGTTCAGGACAGGAAGACTGTTGCAGAGGAACGGAAGGAACTTGAACTGCAGCGCCGACAGCGCGAGGTATTTACGCATTTCACCTGAAAGTTTTTCTCTGGATATTTGCTCTCTATTAATATCCCTGTGTGTGTATATATAGGCAGATCAAGCTTCAGCCAGGGAGAGAGCAGCCGATCAGAGAGGGCGATCTCTGGAGGAACAGAGGTCAGTCTACACCAGTCGCAGTAGCTACGTAAGACTTGGTGGTGATGGCACAGGAAGAGAGAGAAGGAGAGACACGTGCAGGAGACAACCGCGCGAGAAGAGGCTCTGGTAGGAAACACTGGTGTTTGTGGGCGAGGGAAAGTTGATCTTTCTCTCTGTATCTTTAACAGCAACAGCGACTGAAGGAAGAAGAGAGCTCAGTGGAGGCAGAGCGGAGGAGAGAACGCGACGATATGCAGCGCCAGCGAGTACAGGTACACGACCTCTCTGATCCATCTCTCACTGGACCATTCTCTCTCGCCACAGGAGTACAAGAACATCAGCTCTGCAGTCAGCAGTAAGAAGGCAGGGTTCGAGCAGCCTGCGGAAGAGGAGCCTCCCTCTCTGCCCCAGAGGCCACCCAAGAAGGCCCCTGTCCCGGTTCCGGAACCAGAGCCTGAGCCTGAGCCTGAGCCTGAGCCTCAGCCGGAACAGGAATGGGAACAGGAATGGGCACCTGAACCTGAGCCACTGTATGAGCAAGAACCTGAGCCAGAACCTGAGCCGGAACCTGAGCCAGAGCCTGAGCCTGAGCAACAGTATGAGCCACCTCCAGAAGGTATATATACACAGTAAATCTATCATGTGCATCAATTACTTTGTCCTTTGCGAATCCAGAACCTCTGTATGATGAAGCTCCACCAGGTAAGACTCCATACCTTATGTATAACAATGTGAGTGGATGTCAATGTACAGAGGAGCCAGAGCAGCCACTGTATGATGAGGCAGGCTACCAGGACGAGGTCCCTGCAGCTGGAGGAGGAGAGGTGAGTGTGTCTCCCTCACCTTGTCTCCTCTCTCACTCGTCTCCTCCCTCTCTCAGAGCCAGGGACTGACAGCCGTTACCATCTATGACTACCAGGCAGGTTGGTGTCTCTCTCCCCCCTGTGTATGGGCTCTCCCCTCATAAGAAGTGTTACTGCTGTAGAGGACGAAGGAGAGCTAACATTTGATGTGGACGAGAGGATTGTCAACATTGAGAAGATTGATGAGGGGTGGTGGAGGGGAACTCGAGAGCTCGACGGCTCCTATGGCCTCTTCCCAGCCAACTACGTGGAGCTGATATAGAGAGACAGACTCACTTTTCTTCCCCTAGCTTTCCTCTTTGTGTTGTATGTAGAGAGAACGGTATAGGTTTTTGATTTCTGCTTTCACTGGTTTATCAACCGGAGTTGTTTCAAATTGGCATTGTATGAATTCCCTTTTGTCACATGCCCCGCATAATGAGCATGCATGTTTGTACGGCCGTATACGGGAGCCCGTAGACCGTAGGTTCAGCTGTGAACTATGGGAAAGACCTTGCTGGAAGCGACCGTAAAGGAGGCGAAGAAGTGTCGCTATCCCAGCAAATTCTATGTGAGCAGCTATGTATTCCAGAATCACTGCGAGTATATTACCTAGACCGCTATACTGTTCAGTCTTTCATCGTGAGCTAGCGGTAGATGTTAGCTGTAGTGTCTCTACGTGTGACCAGGTGTACGTGCTGGAGGTGACGTGGTCTGAAGGAACGTCCACACTCGTCTACAGGAGATACAGCGACTTCTTCGAGTTCCAGGTGTGGGCTAATGTTGCTGTTTCACATGCCCCGCCCACGTTTTGTAACATCCATGTTCGTGAACGTCACTTGTCTCTCCCGGCCCTCTCATCAGTGTGGCCTGTTGGAGAGATTCCCAGAGGAGGCTGGGGCCAAAGATCCCGCAGACAGGATCATTCCTTTCCTGCCAGGTACTTTTTCTAGTGAGTGTGAGACTATTTTGCGTACATGGGATATTATAATGCAGGCAAGAAGTTACTGGGACGCAGTCAAGTCAGGTCTGTGGCTGAGAGGAGAAAGGACAAGTTGAACGACTACTGCAAGGTATGCCAACTCTGTACACAATTCCTCTGGGAAACTAGCATTACATGTATTCCATTACTTATGGAATTGGTGTATGTTTGTTCCTGTACGCACACATCAGGCACTGGTTCGACTTCCTCCAAAGATATCAGATGATGTATTTGTCCACAATTTCTTTGAGGTTCGACTGGATGACCTTGATGACCCAAGGTAGGCCCACTACTCTCTACCGTTCAAGAGATCAATGCTGTGTATGTCTGCAGCAAGGTGGACAGGGAGAAGGCAGAGAAAGTGACTTCTGTGTCGCCAGTGGAGGAGATCTCAGGACCAATGGTACTGGAGAGATACGTGGCTGTGGCTGACTATGAGAAGCAGAAGAAGAACGAATGCAGTCTGACAGCTGGTCAAATGGTGGATGTCGTCGACAAGAACCAGAACGGATGGTGGTTTGTGTCTCTTGACAACTTTAACGAGGGGTGGGTCCCTGCCACTTACCTGGACCCTCTCTATGGAACTGAGGAGGCTCATGTGGAGATGTTTGCACCTGGACAAGGTCTCTTTCTCTCTCTCTTTCTTACTTCCCCACACCTGATGTAATATGGCACTCTTGATGCAGAGCAATACATCACTACCAGCGGCTACCACGCTCAGAATCCAGACGAGGTCAGTTTTGAGAGGGGAGTCATTGTGGACGTGATCGCTAAAGGACTGGATGGGTGGTGGACCGTCCGGTAAGTCCGCAGTCTCCACATAATAGTTAGTAAAGAGATGAAAACAACGATCTAGGTACAAGGAGCGAGAGGGTCTGGCTCCTGCGGCATACCTCAGTCGTTACTCAGGACCCCATTCGGTAGTGGCCACCCCTGCCGAGCTGGTCGGTTCTGTGAGAGATGCCGTTCAGCTGGCCAGTGGGACCAAACAGTCCTGGAGATCTCAGGCTCACATGGACGTCCAAGAACGTGAGAACCTCTCAAGAGTTTCAGCAGCTGGTGTATTGCGCCATAATATGTTACACAGCAATCTACGCACCAACACCGAGGAAGATGTCAGTCAAGGTAAGCATGACTCAGTGTTTGTCATTCAATAGGTGTGTGAGTTTCACTGTTTGTTTTCCCCAGAGGAAGATAGAACGTCGAGCACCCCCAGCCAAACGTTCTGTTCCCACTGTGACTAAAACAGGCCCCACCCCCGAGCCAGTCGACGAGCCCTGTCCAGTGTACGAGGTCATCCCCGAGCCAGAGGAAGAGGTGTACCTGACACTCGCAGACTTCCAGGCTCCAGGCACAGGTGACGGTCTCAGCTTCTCTGCCGGTTGCTCCGTGACCGTGGTGACCAAGAACGCCAGTGGGTGGTGGTACTGTGGAGATGGGGGACAAGGAGGGTTGGGTGCCTTCTTCGTACCTGGAGAGAGCCGCCAAGAATGAGACCTTGCAGACACCTCCACCCAAACTGCCAGCCAAGAGATCGCCTGTCAAGAGAAGAGAGCTGCCCCAGTCAGGAAACAAGGCAGCTCTCCGTCGCTCCACCTCTGAGGAGACATTGAAAGGGTCCCAGCTGAAACCTTCTCCGTCTCACAAAGTTCACGTGAACTCACCTCCTGGTAAATCCACTTCCTCTTCTCTGCTGACTGCCTCCACTCCCCACCTCTCATCACCGCAACAACGCAAACCCACCATCTCAGTCCCGTCTCACACCAACAAGAAGACCCTCACCACCGGAGGAAACACACACACCCCAATCGGTCGCTCCTCGAGCTCAGGGGACCAGGCCACCAGACCCAAGCCTCACTTGGCTCCCAGAACACAGCAGAGTGCCACTAGTCTCAGTGTCCCCAAACCACACACGAAGTCTCGTTCAGCTGACGGATCCACCAACTCCAGAGAAAGAACCCTGTCTTCCAGAACTGACCACAACCGTCCAGTCTCAGAGCTGGCACAGTTGCTGCAGAAGAAGCAGGCAACCTTATCAGCTAACTCATCTGCTAAACCATCCTCGCCACGAGCCACGCCCAAGACTGCCACACCCAAGACTGCCACACAGAAAACAGCCTCTCCCTCTACCAAGAGACTGGACTTGAGCGTCAAACAGCCACCGCAGAGACCAAAGCCCTACAATACCACGGCAACTACGAAGAGAGCTCCGCCCAAGAGACCGGAACCGCCCAAATCCAACACCATTTCCCACACCAAGAAAACTCCGCCTCCCAGGCCGTCGACGAGTCCCTCTCAGACCCGCAAGACCTCTGTCGGCTACACTGCTGTGTGTGAGTACACGGGGGGAGACGGGCAGATGTCTCTGAGAGCTGGGCAAATTGTGGAGGTGCTGGAAAAGTGCAGCGACGGATGGTGGTACGTGAAGGCCGGCTCCGAAGAAGGCTGGGCTCCATCCTCTTTCTTAGAGGAAGGCAAGTCCAAGCCAGGAAGACCGGCAAATGGGCCATCCCATCCTAAAACAGAGCATCCCATTGCCGGATCGAGCAAGCCTACACCAGCTGCACGTCCAATACCGAAGCCTCGACGCAGTCCGCAGACACCTCACGCCAGCAACAGTATGTACAGAGCTGCAGTCTCGTACCAGGTTCCAGTCTACGAGGACTCTGGAATCACTCTGGTGGCAGGCCAGCTGTACGAAGTGTTGGAGAAGCAGGAAGGGTGGTGGTTTGTGAAGGACACCCAGGGAGAAGGCTGGGCTCCAGCCTCACACCTAGACCCAGCATAGCTCACTCCTTTAGATGATAGCTGCTTCTCACTTCTTCTGTTCATTGATTTTTAAAGCATTGTATGTATGATATGATCGATACACATGTGATGGTTAAAACATGAAACACTATGAATCATCTTTTCTGAGTTTTTTGACAGAAGTCTCACTGTCTTGTTCCCTCTCCCTCTTTCTCCTCCCTGCTGGTAGTGGGTGAGAGCTGACCACAGCTTTTGCCGAATGCCTCCTCATCCCTGTACACGCACACACGCACGCAAACACACACATGGTCAAGAATCCTCTCATGCCAGCTGGAGGTGTCTCACTGGAATGAAGAAGGGCCGCTCTACCCACAGTGGTGATGGCTGCCTTGCACTGGATGTCTGTGAGTCCAAACAAACGAGACATGTTTACGATGTCCAGAGGTGGGCGGAAATCAAGAGCCCTCTCTCCACCACTAGACACCAATACACCCTGTGAGAGGATCACACAATCACATCACATGACTTATTAGAGAGATCACATGAGTATTGTGTGACAACTCACCTTCCCTCTGCACCCCTTCACCAGTTCCTGAGCATTCGAGAGTGTGTTCCTGCGACCAGAGCTACCTGAGAGAGAGAGAGAACAACCGTCAGGAACACTCCCTGTGTATATATCTCTAACCTCTCAGAGCAGGTGAGTAACATATCTCCAGAGAAAGTCCTCTCTCTACAGCCTGTCATGCAGAAAGAACGGGAGAAAATCAGAGCTGTCTCGTAGAAAAACCCTGCATAGTGTGTGTTACTGCGTTGCATGTTTTAGCTGGTCTCAAAATTGTCTAGAAGCGAAATTAAATTTGTCACCTGATACAGGTCCCCCGAGCATTGTTTCAACTCAACTGTGGTAACATACTTGTGAGAGTTGAGAGAATTTGAGAACAAACGGTAGTTTCTCAGCAAAGTTGAACGTGACGATGTCGATAGGGAGAACACTGCAGGCCTGGAGGAAGACTCTATCACTGGCTGGGCACACTGCTAACAGGTCATAGCTTTCAGCTGCTGGCGAGGACTGGAGGAAGAAGTGGGAGGGATAGAGGAACATCTTCAGAGACCAAGTGTCCCTTAATTCTGAGGTTTTCTTCTATTAGGAAGTGACACCAATGTATGTATTGGTAAGGGGGAAGAACCAAGTGTCCTATATTCGGAGGGATTACTGTAGCTGGTAAGAGGAAGAAGGAAAGTTGGTGGGAGAGAAAGAAAAGGGGGAGGAGGGTGCTTACTAGTGTGTGAAGAAGAGCAGGGTCGTCCACCATGACGGTGAGTCTCTGCAGAACCTCTAGCTGTCTGCCCCTCTTGGTAGCAGGTGTCCTCTCCACCAACTCTGTCACATCGGGGGCTGCCTTCAACTGGTGTTACTCTGACCTTCACATTAATGACACCCACAATTTCACTGCACCTGGACGCCTCTCTTGAGAGTCACGTGATGACAGATAGCCACTCTCTCATATCCACCTGAAGGGCGAGGGAGGGGTGCCTTACAGGTGGGTATGTGGCTTACACAAACGTACTGTCTGCGAGGGTTTGCAGGAGGGCAAGGTTTGCTGCGCGGCTCTCCAGCCTCTGCACATTCAGGTCGCTGAACACACCTCTAGTCATCCCCCCTCAACTGACACCCATTATTAAGGTCGAAAGTTCAGCACGCAAACACGTGACTGCCGCGATCGTGTAGCTTAGATAGAGGGAGGCGTACTCTCGTTTGCTGGGCCTCGTCTTTGCTTTATCCTACACGATGGACGAAGGGTCGGGAAAGACGGCCGGGGGCACAGAGAAAGAGGCAGAGGCCGCGGAGGAGGAGGGATTTGCAGAGCCTCCAGTGGCCGAGCTCCGCCGCAAACCCAAGGACCCGCGGACTGCTGCCCGCTGGAACATCATCTCTCGCCTTCTGTTCACGTAAGAACCCCCCTTCTGCTTGCGTTGTGTAAACGTAGCGAGCTGCGTCTGCGTGCTCAAGCTATGCATACCAACTAATAATGTATATAGTTGGATCGACCCTCTGATGTGGCTGGGCTGGAGGAACGACATAAAGCAAGAGGACCTCTATGTCCATCCTGAGGAGGTAGACGCAGAGAGACTGCTCAAGAAATTCAATAAGTAAGACATTGAACCTTGCAGCGTAGTGTAAGTGTGTGTGTCTGCAGGTACTGGGCAGTGGAGGTGGGGAAGAAGGAACGTGGAGGGAAGGCTCGGCTGTGGCGGGCTCTCTTCAAGTGCATCTGGCACCGGCTCCTCATCCAGGGAGTCCTCATGTTCATCGAGGTGAGCGGACTTTGCATGGAGCTTTCTCTCCCAAAAGTAAAGTGTATGGTGTGTCTCTCTGTAGGTGGCCCTCCAAGTTGGTCAGTCAGTGGTTCTAGGCTACCTGGCAAACTACTTTACCATTGAAGACCCCACATCTGACGATACGAGAGATGCTTACCTGCTGGCTGGAGGTACATAAGTGGACACTCTCATACTCTCCTTCCTCCCCTTACTCCCTCTCCACTCCCTCTCCACCCAGGACTTGTTGCCATGGCGTTCGTCATCACGCTCCTGCACGGTCATGGCTTCCTTATTGGTCAGAAAGTTGGAATGATGAGTCGGGTGATGTGTACCAATGCCATATACCAGAAGGTGAGCATGTGACGTTTGTGTAGAGAATAGGTCAATAAAAGTGCTGACACGTAATGCTTCCTTGTGAAAGACTATCCTGTGAGTAATACTCTGTCCCCACACTGCCAGATTCTAAAGCTGAGTCAGGTGACCCTGGGCAAGGTGTCCACTGGTCATGTGATCAACCTGGCCTCCAACGACGTCCAGAGATTCGACCTGGCTTTCCTCTTCCTGCACTTCCTCTGGATAAGTCCGCTCCATCTCGCCGCCTTCACCTTCCTTGTGTACCGCGAGGTTGGCTGGCCGGCCTTCCTTGCCCTCGCCTTCGTCATCCTCCAGATCCCACTGCAGGTCTTCCTGGCTCGTCTCTTTGGCAGACTTAGGTGAGCCTTCCTTCTCTTCCTCTTTCCTCCTTCCACCTCCTCTCTCTCTCTCTCTCTCTCTCTCTCTCTCTCTCTCTCTCTGTACAATTACTCCTTCTCCATATGTCCAATGCCATTCTATACCCTCTAAGGTTGAAATCGGCTCAAGTCACAGACAAACGTGTACGGATCATGAACGAAGTCATCACTGGTATTAGAGTGATAAAGATGTATGCCTGGGAGTATGCGTTCAGAAACGTTGTCAACCACCTTCGCAAGTGAGTAATCCATGCAGCAGACACACGAGTGTGTGATGCAGTTGTCTTCAAGGAGCTCTGCCACCAGCAACTTTGCCTGCAGGGCCCCACTCGTCACATGATCACGTTGCCTAGCAACAGTCACATGATCACGTTGCCTAGCAGCAAGCACATGACCACAATGGCTAGCACCATGCTTCACGTAATCTTGACCTAATGAGGCTGATCCTTGTTGGGGTGCCCCCTTTCCTTGCAAACAGAACAATGAGGTCTCTAAGAACGTTGGTAATACGGCAGTGGTGGTGAACCTGCAGGCTTGATTTTGGTCTAGTTCGTCCTTCCCTCTTCCCCTCCCCCCCTCTCTCTCTCTTGCCACAGGTATGAGTTTTTAATGGTGTTTCTGGCCGGTTTGTTCAGAATGTTTGCTGTCTTCCTGTATGTCACTGGCCGAGTGTTCATAATGGTTGTCATCTACATCGCCGTGGGTCTCGCCAGGGAACCAGTGACTCCGCGTGCCTTTTTCACCATCCTCTCTCTCTCCTGGCCTCTTGCTGTCAACATTTACCGTCACATCACCTTGGGTGTCATAGAGCTATTAGAGGCTTCTGTCGCTGTCCTGCGTATGAAGGTAAGGTCTGTCCCATTGCTGTGCGTGGCATGCTCCGCATTACTGCTCTGGCCTGAGAGCAAACAGGAGGTTCAACTCTGACTGAAATCGTATCCACTGGTCCTTTAGCTGACTCTCGGGCAAAGTTGCTGCTGTTTTGCAACAGCATCTTGAAACCAGACCTTCTGTCACCAGACAGGTCTTCTTGCTCTCCCCCATTGCTCTCCCAGGAGAGACAGCAAACTTCTCACAGCTATTCAAGATGGTCACCAACTGTGTCCTCATTGCCCAAGATTCAGGTCTTACTATCATCGTCTTCCTCATTGTCTTGTGAGAGATTTTGGTGTAGTCAGCAGGTGAAATGATCTGGTGGCAGAGCTCCATCTCTCATCCCTCTCACTGCACTAGTTAGCCCCTGCTCTCTCTCTCTCTCTCTCCCATAGATACGAGTCTTCATTCAAGCAACGCACACAAGCCATCAGAGGTGTTCTGACAGGCTATCATCACGTGGCCATCCAAATCCTGATGTTCATCATCTTTCTCCCCATCTTCTTCCGCGACGGTCGCGTCCCCATCACTGCCTTCTTCACCATCCTGTCCCTTGCCAACGTCCTCCGTCGTACCACCTTTACATTCCTGGTCAGAGTCATCATCCAGTTGTTTGATGTGCGTGTTGGCCTCACTCGAGTGCAGGTAGGTCTCTCTCTCTAGCTCTATTGCGGCACGGCGCGACGGGGGCAATGTAGTGTGAATCCATGCTAAGGTTGGTTATGCCTTTGCCACCCAGGTAGAAGCAAAACCTTGTCCATAGTTCAGTAGTTGAGTTGAAATCTCTCACCTGCACAATTACATGCACTTGTGGGCAAGTTAGTGCCACAGGTTTTCCGTTTGACTTTGCTTACACCAAAGGCTTTGTTTCTGCCGTACATTCTCTATAGAAGACAGGCTGCTGACTCAGCAAAAATTGCACTGAGAGTCATGTTTTGTAATGTTACAATCGCTTCCAACATCCTCTTGAGTTGAAATGATCTGGTGGCAGAGCTCCATCCTTACTCCCTCACTCCACTAGCTAGCCCATTTCCTCTCTCTCTCTATCCCATTAGGTATGAGTCTTCGTTCAAACAGCGTACCCAAGGCATCAGAGGCTTTTTCACTGGCTACCTATTCTCTATCAGCACAATCCTGATGTTCATCATCTTCCTTCCCATCTTCTTCCGCGACGGTCGCATCCCCATCGCTGCCTACTTCATCACCCTGTCCTCTTACCAACAGCCTTCGTCGTTCGACCTTTGTCCTCTTGATACGAGCAGTCGTCCAGTTATTTGAGATCAACGTTAGCTTCACACGAGTACAGGTACAGGTCTCTAGGTCTTTGGATGCACTGGTGTCCTCTGCAGCCATGACACTGGTTTTCCAATACACCATCAATAGTTGTAGAGACAATTTATGTCCTGGATTGAAGGCAGACCCAGTGACTAATCCTAGACTGGCTACACTCTCTTTGATTAAGTGTACGCCATTGGTTGCTGCACATTTAGTGTCTGGTTCTTGTGTACGCGTACTTCCTAAAACGAAATGCACTCACTAATATGATGTAATAGCAATGACGTGGTGATGATAGTCAGCAGGCTAAATGATCTGGTGGCAGAGCTCCATCTTGACTCCACTAGCTAGCCCCTCCTCTCTCTCTCTCATTAGGTACGAGTCTTCATTCAAGATGCGTACCAACGGGATCCGAGCATTCATAGCCGGCTACCACCACACCATCCTTCAAGTCCTCATGCTTGTCATCTTCCTCCCGTCGTCCTCAGAGAGGGGCGTGTCCCCGTGACTGCCTACTTCACAATCCTCTCTCTCACAAACCTCCTCCGTATTACCGTGTTCATTTTCACTATCAGACTGGGCATGGATTTCTTTGAACTCCGCGTCAGCTTCACTAGAATACAGGTGAGGTGAGGGGGTAGCTCTGTCTTCTCTTGAAGGTCTGCAGAGTGGCTTTAGTTCTCTTCTGCCACAGCATGCGCTGATCTTATCGGTGGATTAGTGAAGGCATTCCTTGATCTGGATTTCCCTCCTTACGACCACAGGCTATCTGCTTGCTTTCTTACCTCCATGGGCAGAATTCGGCCACACTTATCACTACGGCACTTTACACCACGTATAGAACCTTGGATTAATACCAGTATGGCAGGCCAGTACATGAGGTAGTCCTTGTTCACAGTAAGTAGGTGTATCCACCAAGCCTTGAGCACGTTGTTACGTAACCTCGAAGGGTGGGTGTGTCTGTTGACTGCAGAACCTTCTGGAACTGGATGAACTGGAGCCGGCAGCGACCTTTGACCCTTCTTCCTCGGGCTCCTCTCCTGTGGTGAGACTGGAGGGAGTCGGCCTCTCATGGAGCGAGGAGGGAGACAAGAAGGTTGTCAGTGGTGTCTCTTTCTCTCTGGACAAGGTCAGACTCACCTATGGGAGGAGAGAGAATTTAACGATTTTCGTGTCTCTTACTCCAACAGAATAACCCTCTGCTGAGCTATAGTGGGTCCAGTGGGAGCTGGCAAGGTATGCATCAGAGTCCAGTAAAATTTGTATGGCTTCAAAAATGTATCCGCCATGTAGCTACTGATTCCCCATACCCTGTGTCTCGTTCCCAGACCACTATACTACAGTGCTTGCTTGGGGAGCTGAAACCAGTTGAAGGGACGGTGGAGGTCAAAGGTCGAGTCTCCTATGCCTCCCAGGAGCCGTGGGTGTTCTCGGGGACACTGAGGGACAACATTCTCCTCGGGAAGACCTTTGAACCCGACCGATACCAGAGCGTGCTCGAAGCCTGCGCTCTCGACAAGGCAGGCACACCCAATGCACAGACTATCTGTCTCTGATTTGTGTCCTGTTAATTCCAGTGTCCTGTTAATATTGTGGTGTCCTGTTGAACATAATGTCCTTTTCATTTAGGTCATTCCACTGTCCTGTTATTTTGGTGTCCTTGTGGTGTCCTAATTGTTGTTTCCTGTGTCTTGTGTATGTTGTCCTATAGGACGTGGGTCAACTGCTGCATGGAGACCTGACGCTGGTGGGGGAGAGGGGAGTGACTCTCAGTGGGGGGCAGAAGGCGAGGGTGAACCTGGCCAGAGCTGTCTACCACCGGGCCGACCTCTTCCTCCTGGACGACCCTCTCTCCGCCGTGGACACCGCCGTCGCCAGGCAACTCTACGACAGGTTGGCTCACTCCTTCTATAATGGGAGATCAAACACTTTATGTATTCTGAGGTCTGAAAACATCGAGAGAACGACTTCTTTTCAGTGATCATTGTGTTGATTAGTTGACTGTTAGCGGGATTTTTAGCAAACCATGAAAGTTTAACTTTTCGTGTCCCACTCAAAGTGTGTGGTACTGCTGTCTCTCACCCCCGCACAGAGTGGTGACGGGACTTCTGAAAGGAAGCAGAGTCGTTCTTGTGACTCACCAGCTCCAGTTTGCTCAGCTGGCTGACAACATCCTGGCCATTAAAGATGTGTGTTCCCTCTCTCCCTCCCCTCACACTCAACGTTCTCCCTTCTCCCTTCCCCCTCATCTCTTTTCCCCTTTCTTCCTCCCTCTCTTCCACTGTCCCTTTTCTCTTACTTGAAGCTGTGTACTTTCTCCACAGGGTCATGTGGAGGCATATGGTAGTTACGAGGATATCCTTGCCAGCGGTGTGGAGCTAATGCAACTCATCAAAGCCAAAGACGAGGACGACGACAGGGAGATTTTCTCTGTCCACGGAGAAGATGAAGATGAAGAGGAGGAGGAGAGGGAGGAGGGAGAAGAGGGAGAGGACCAAAAGGCAAATGGTGATGTTCAACTGTTGGTGGCCCCCTGTGCCCCCAACTCGCCTTACAAGAGAAGAAACATAATCTACATCACGGAGAGCCAGTCCAACCTGGCCTTCTCTTCCGTCAAACCCAGTCACCTGGGAGACGACCTCAAGCAGTTCCCGCCCGACTCCGCCTCCATCTACTCTGCCCACTCCATGCTGTCCATACACTCTGCAGTGGAGGCAGAGAGCAGTAGACATGAGGATGAGGAGGTGAGGGACCACAGCCTCTGACCCCATCACCTCGTCTTCCTCTCTCTACCCTCACAGGAGAGGATCTACGGCCCTCCCCCAGAGGAGAAAGGTCACGGCACAATCTCCTTCAAGACTTACTATCACTATTTCAGAGCTGGCGGAGGGTTTCTGCTCCTGACTGCAGTCCTGATAGTCTTCATCCTGGGAGAGGTGGGCCCCTGACACACAGAGACACTTGCCCTCACCTCTCTCTCTCTCTCTCTGTCCGTAGGTCAGTGTGGTAGTCTCTGACTGGTGGCTCTCTGACTGGTAAGACCAGAAACATACACGTTAACACACACAGTAAAAACTCAGAACTCGATGGCTGAGAAACGGAATGCTTTATCCACTCTCAAAATGTGAATGCCCAAAATAGCTTGCCTAACTGGAAAGTTAGTCTGTAAAGTGTGACATTTAAAATGCTGTACTTGTTGATGGTCGCACACATGTAACGTCCCTCTCCCCTCCCCCCTCTCTCCTCCCCCCTCTCTCCAGGGCCGACTGCTCAAGTCTGAATCTGACACTACTGGAGGAGACCAACCGAACTGTCAGAGACCTCTGCAGTCTGAGCGTGGACCAGAGAGTGGGTGTCTACGGTGGCACAGTCCTCGGGGTCATCATCGTCAACCTCACTCGAACCCTCGCTTTCTTCTTCATCTGCGTCAAGGCCTCGCGAATCCTCCACAACAGGATGTTTGCCTCCATTCTGAGAGCACCCGTCCTCTTCTTCGACACCAACCCCATCGGACGAGTACTCAACCGCTTCTCAAGGACGTTGGTTTTCTCGATGACCTCCTTCCGTTTCAGTTCTGTGAATACATGCTCGTGAGTCTCTCTCTCTCTCTCTCACTGACCGTTGAGTAAAGTTGTCACTGCGTATATATGTAATCCCCAGCTATTACTGAGGTTCGTGGCCATCATAATCACTGCCTGTGTGTCCAATCCTTGGGTGCTCATCCCTGCCTCGTTCATCATGACCTGCTTCATTCTCCTGAGAACCTACTACCTCAAGACCTCACGGGACATCAAGAGACTGAGGCAGTCGGTAAGTTCCTCTCTCCCCTCTTCTCTCCTCTCCCTCTTCCTTACCCTCCTCCCCACACTGTGGCCGTGTGTCTCTTCCCTCTTCCCCCCTCCCCCACCCCACCCAGCCCGGAGTCCTCTCTACTCCCACATATCCACCACCCTACAAGGCCTCCCCACCATTCGCTCCTTCCATCAGGAAGATGCCGCTCTCAAATATCTCTACAAGTGAGTTGGTTGAAATTTCAACACGTTCACAGTTTTTTTGCTGCATCTGCTTCTCTGCACACCGTTTGCTAGAACTACTACAGCAATGTCAGACAGTTCACTTGTGTGTGCCTCACGTTTCAAAAACTGGTTCCACGGAATGCTAATGTTGTGTCCAGGTTCCAGAACGAGCACTCCCAAGGCTGGTACCTGTACCTGGTGACCACGCGCTGGTTTGGAATGAGGATCGACTTTGTCAGCGGGGTGTTCCTGGCCACGGTAGCCTTCTCCTCAGTCCCCCTGGCTGGTTCCCTGAATGCTGGACTGGTGGGGTTGGGACTCACCTACACAGTCTCTCTGGCTGGCATGTTCCAGTACTGTGTCAGACTCAGTGCTGAGGTGGAGAATGTGGTGAGTTGAGAGTGGTGCACTAAGCAATTTGGGTTTGCCTTGCTTTGCACAGTTTAGTCTCCCTGTATGATATGTAGGACTTGTGCTTGCCTATAAACATAACGTAGCAAATGCCCACCTGTGTATGTACCTCCATGTGCAATTAAAAAGTTCACATATTATTATTTTGGATGATGCACAACTCTGGAAAATGTACACATGCATCATGTGCGGAACATGCACACACACTGTGTGTGCTTACAATTATTTGGCTATTTATAATTCTTCAGATGATCTCAGCAGAGAGGATCATGGCCTACAGCAAGTTGGAGTCGGAGGCCTCCCTGGAGACCACGCCCCCTCATCAACCTCCGCCCTCCGACTGGCCGAGCCGCGGAGCCCTGGTCTTCTCCGACGTGGCGTTCCGCTACTCACCTGACCTTCCTCTCGTCCTCAAGAACCTCTCCTTCTCCATCAAACCCTCTGAGAAGGTCAGACAGACATTTGACTCTGTACAGTACAGTGATTGTGGCATTCTCGTTTCCCCCCTGCCCCTGCCAGATTGGTATCGTTGGTCGGACTGGAGCCGGCAAGTCTTCTCTTATCTCTGTCCTGTTCAGACTGGTGGAGCCGTTTGGACAAGTGACAGTGGACGGAGTTGACTCCAAGGAGATTGGACTCCACGACCTGCGGAGACGCATCTCCATCATTCCTCAGGTCCTCTTCCATTTAGAGCTCACCCTGCTGTGTTCGTGTTGCATCACTTGCTCTGGAGTACAGTATATTTGCCACACATTGAAACCGGGATTTCCATAACCAAGTTCCAAGGGTGGAAATCATTCAACTAGTGTTAGACAAAAGAAAGAGGGTGTGCACTGTCTCCCTGCTGTAGGACCCGGTACTGTTCAGTGGGACAGTGAAGTACAACCTGGACCCTTTCTCTGACTGCACTGACATTCAGCTGTGGAGCGTTCTAGAGCAGGTCTGTACTCACGTGTATCTCAACCAAGTATATACCCACTGAGTTATACATACATACATGGATTGAGAATGGGATGCCGAGCTGTAGACACACTGTACAGGAGAGTGGAGAGAGATATAGGGGAGGGGGAGGGAGGGTTCTCACAGCTGTCCCCATGGCCCACTATGGCAACCAGCGGGGAATGTAGCACAAACACTGGCTGCAATAGGTGCCACTGCTGCCTCGGCTTGGCCCTCCTCCTAATTATATTCCTGCACCCACCTGCCCCGCATTCCTGGCTGTTGTCCCTGGCAACGCAGGTTCAGCTGAAGTCGGCAGTGGAGGAGATGAAGGGTGGACTGGAGGCAACGGTGACGGAGGGAGGAACCAACTTCAGTGTGGGGCAGAAGCAGCTGGTCTGCCTCGCCAGAGCTCTCCTCAGGAACAACAAGATTCTGGTCCTCGACGAGGCCACATCCAACGTCGATATCAAGTCAGACAGACTCCTCCTACCTCTCATTACCTGTTACGATCTCTCCCTTCCTCCCACTCTCTAATGGTGCCGACTTGTCTTGCAGGACTGACGGAATCATCCAGAAGGCGCTCAGAGAGCAGTTTGTTGACTGTACCGTCCTCACCATTGCCCATCGCCTCAATACAATTATGGACTCTGACAGAATTCTGGTGAATTTTCCGCCCACCACATGTCCTGTCGTCTTGGCTGGATTGTGTGGCTGTGTACATGCCAGGATAAGTGATTGAGGCAGAGCTAATTGTATCAAAATTCCAATGTTTGCAAACTCTGCAACTCTCAAGACCTGTCCTTGGTAGTGAGGGTCCCACCCTTTGGCACGGCACCTTGCTACCCCTCGGCTGTTGAAAATTCACACAGTTGCACCTCTCTTCCTCTCCCCTTTCCCTTTCCCCCCTCTCGTATAATGTGTGTTTCTCACTCTTTGTCCCTCTCCCCCTCTGTCTGTATCCAAGGTGATGAACAGAGGACAAGTAAAGGAGTTTGAGAGGCCAAGCAGACTCCTACAGCGACCTCACTCCCTCTTCCGTCGAATGGTGGAGCAAACGGGAGACGTGGCTGCTCGCAAGCTGTTTGAAATGGCCGAAGAGGCAGAGCAGCGAAGAACAGCTGCACGTAGAGGCAGCATTCTTTAGTCAGTTCGCAGGTGTCTCTTTTTATGCAAGCGAATAACTGAGCATCTTATATTATCAATTATCATACCACCATTATAATTATTATCACTACAATCACAGGTATACTCTGACACTGTGTGATCCTAGTTACAAAAATGATGTGATACAACTCTTTGAGAACATGTGAATGTGCAGAGAGTCAATGCTGGAGATGATTATAGAGACGAGCGTCACACGAGCTAGAGCGCAGGCCTCATGGTCTCAGGTCCCACAAACGGTTCCAAAGTTGCATACACTGCGTTCTCCTCGAGACTTCCGTAGCCCACTGTCACACCTTCGAGATGGTTGTAGCGTCCTGACTCATCCAGTCCCTGGCAGCTGGTAGTGAACGTGCGGGATGTCGACCAGCCAGCTGCGCGGGGAGAGGGAGGGCGGGGCCTCCTCTCTCCCGTCCCTCCCACAGTGGCAGAATGAGGGACACACGATAGGGAACCACTCGTCTGGGAGGTTGCGATGGGCGGAATCTCGCCACTGGAGACAGAACCCAGTCGGGATTGCTGTCCTGGACCGAGACGGAACTGCACCGAGACATCGGAGATGATTCTCTGGATTCAGGATTGTGTGTCTGTGGTCCACCACTGTTGGCCAGGGAATGTTGATTGCTGGCTAGTGAGGGAGGAGAGTGTTCAGTGGGGTCCTCCAAGAGACTGTACAGATGGACTTGTTCTGTCTTGGCCCACTCCCCACTGCCAACTAGTGTCTCTGACTTCACCGGGTCTTCACACTCGACTTCATCGTAGAAGTGAGGTCGAGGGGAAGATGGGGTGGGGTGGACCACGGTTGCTTGGTTGGGAGAGAGGGAACGGATCTCTGAGTAATTGTGTGTGGAGGTTGGGGAGGGAGGGAGGTGGGTAGGGAGAGTGCAGTGAAGAGTGGAGCGAGGAGAGGAGGAGAGTACAGGGGAGGATGGAGAGAGGGAGCGAGGCCGGCACCACTCAAAGTTTTGGTTGGAGAGGGCAGATGAGAGAAGATGAGCTGTGGCTCCATTTCCACTGGTTCTCTGTCTCGTTTTCTCCGGAGTGTGGGAGGTCTGTCTCCACCGCCTGAGGCCCCTCCTCACCCTCACCACAATCACCACCACCACTGTCACCAGCACACATACACACAGGACAGAGAGCACGCTCAGTGCGGCAACCATCAGGAGTGGTCCACCAGGAGAGGGAAGACCAGGAGCCTCAGCAGTGGGGGAAGACTCCAGGCGAAACGAGGGAGAGTACGAGACGAGGTGAATACCGGCGCTCGGTGCTGCAGTTTCGTTCTGTCCTACAGAGATATCACGCAATGCTGTATGCACCTCCATACATTGGAGAGATCTTACCCTGCATACGGGGGCACAGAGCCAGACCCGTAAGAATGACGAGCCTCCAGTACATGCTCGATACTGGAACTTGTCGGCAGTTGGACGCACAGAGTCATCCTTGGCAAACGATGCAGGTGACAGAAGGTTTTATACCCGGACAGAGACCGCGTGCGAAGAGAACGGACTTTGAACCCTTGGTGTGCATCTAATAGAAAACAGGCTGCGCACTAAATGGAAAATGGCTTCCCCGATGCATTTGGCTGTGGGGAAAAGCAAGTTCGTGAACTCTGCCACGGGCCTGGAGGTGGATGATGGACCTATTAGTCGAGTCCACGAGATAAAGACGCCAAAAGTGAGCTGTTCTAGCCGCTCGCGTAAAGTTTGGAGCGTACCGCACCATCCTGCAGGTGGATCGAGTGCTGCTGCGGCAGTACCACCAGACGAGAGAGTTCGTAACGGGCACCCTATGCCTCACGGACAGACACCTCATCTTTGTGGAGCCAACTGGAGCCCAGGAAACATGGGTAGACCCCCTCGTTAGCACCCTATCCACCCAGCTTGATTATTGCTGGGTTTGTGCCCACAGGTTCTCTACCATCATATCAGTGGTGTGGAGCGACAGTCGCTAACGACCAGGGGCTACCCCCTCGTCCTCTCCTGTAAGACCTTCCAGCAGCTCTACCTGATCATCCCCAGAGAATCGGACATAGTGGACATTATCGAGACCATCCACATGTTTGCACAGCCCAGTGAGTTATCACAGCACGAGTGTTCACATGGAAGAATAAGCGTGGAAATTTCGTTCAATACCTGTCCATCTCTCTCTCTCTCTGTCAGAGGTGTACAGTGAACTCTATGCCTACCAGTACCGACCAGACTCAAGCACCCTCAAACAGAGCTCGGGGTGGAGTCTGTATGAAGCTGAGTTTGATTACAAGAGGATGGGTATACCCAATGAGCTCTGGCAGGCCACCAATCTCAACCACAGCTATGAGGTTTGTTGCCTCCGTCTCATGGACATGAGGCAATCTCTCAGTTTCCTTCCCTCTTCCTCCTTTACCTTCTCTCTCCACACATACACATGGACAGCTGTGTGACACGTATAGTCATGATCTCTATGTTCCAGTGTGTGCTACAGATGACATTATCATGGGGAGTGCCAAATTCCGTAGCAAAGGACGTCTTCCAATCCTGTCCTACTACCACTCCCCCCAGCAGGTACTTGAATCTCCCCCTTCACTCTCTTATTTTGTGTGTGTGTGTGTGTGTGTGTGTGTGTTGCAGTCTGCACTGTGCCGAAGCAGTCAGCCTCTGGCTGGGCTGATGGGCCGCTCACAAGAAGATGAAGAGATGATTCAGTGTATCCTCAAAGCCAGTCCCAACACCTCTACACTTCACGTCATGGACACTAGACCCAGGGTCATACCCCCTCTCCCCTCTCTCTACCCCTCTTTTCAAAGCCCAAATTAACGAATTAACTACCCTACACCTCCATTTCCCTCTCCACTTATTTATTCCCCTTCCTTGTCCATTGGTGTCCTGGCAGATCAACGCCATGGCAAACAGGGCGGCAGGGAAAGGCTACGAGGCGTCTGGCTACTACTCCAACACTGACTACCAGTTCTACAACATCCACAACATCCACGTCATGAGAGAGAGTCTCCAGAAACTCATTGAAGGCCAGTCCTCTCTACTACAGTACACAGACTGATGGTTTATGAATATGCACTGTTACAATGTAATTAATGCCGTGAAGTCTACTAACTATCGTATGTTGCTCACGAGTGGCTAAGAAACTGAGTGGAGCTTTGTGGTCCTACTACAGCAATGCAGTTTGTCTATTTGTAAGGGAAAATGACGTTTGGCTTGCTCTTGTCCCCCAATGGCAACCTGTAAGGCCTTCAGAGGCATGAGGATAGTGTCTGTGTGTCTGTCTGCAGGCGTGCACACCCCTCACCAGACTGTGTCAGGCTTTCTCTCATGTCTGGAGTCCTCCGGCTGGCTCCGACATATTCAGCTCATCCTGGAGGCCTCTCTCTTCTCCTCCAGGGTAACTCACCTTCACTCACACACCTCTCTCACAATCTCTACCGGTTCCGCAAACCCCCACCACCTCTCTCTCTTTCCAGTCACTCCAGGCAGGGTCCAGCGTCTTGGTCCACTGTTCCGATGGCTGGGACAGAACGGCTCAGACCTGTGCCCTCACATCTCTCTTCCTCGACCCCTACTACCACTCTCTCCATGGATTCATGGTCTGTTCCACACTCAGACCTTTAATCAGACGGTCCTTTCTTTAAAGTTTCTATTATTAACTGTTGGCATTGCCTCAGGTACTCATAGAGAAGGAGTGGCTGTCGTGCGGACACAAGTTCTCCCAGAGATGTGGACACACAGTGGTGGAGGAGAAGGAGACGTCTCCAATCTTCACTCAGTTCCTGGACTGTGTGTGGCAGGTGGCTCAGCAGTTCCCCACCTCCTTCCAGTTCAACGAACACTTTCTGGTCACCCTCCACGACCACGCCCACTCCTGCCAGTTTGGGACCTTCATTGGCAACTGCGAGAAGGAGAGGATGGAGCAGAGGTAGGGAGGGGAGAGGGAGAGAGAGGGAAATGAGGAAGAGGGAGAGAGAGGCTGCTGGTTTAGTTCGTGGTGTGGTGTACAGGCTCTCAGAGAAGACCTTCTCTCTCTGGGGCCACATTTGGGACCACCTGGACGATTTCATCAACCCTCTCTACCAGCGAGGAGAGACGAGAGAGGTCCTGGAGCCCTCTACCGACATTCGCCACCTCAAGTAAGGAAGTTGGCAGTCTTTGTCACAAGCACTGCGACTTTCAGATTACGTGACATTTTGGACGATTGTTGGTGCTGTATCATTCTTCTCACACAGAAGCATTAATCTGCATGATAATCAAATAGTGAGAACTAATATCCAACTGCAGTAATTTCCAACAACACTGGAGGTCAAGAGACCACACACAATCCACATGTGAAAATTACAATGCGAGCAAAATCTTATTAATTTTGTCTGTGCTCTAAGGTTATGGAGGGGTCTGTATGGAAGGTACTTTCTCCACGACAGACTGATGGAGAAGGAAGAGGAGCTGATGGCCAGTCTTCACCAGCAGAACGCATGCCTCCACGAACACATTCTCTTCCTCTCTCAGGTTCCTGTCACATGACTGTTATGTAATACTCATGTGACGTTACCCCCATTCCCTTGTATATAGTCTGTGAGTGCTCTCAAGTTGGGTTTGGAGAAACTGCACAGGAGACAATCTTGTGCCAATATCTCTTCGGAAGGTGTCTCTACAGCCACTAATAAAACTGAACTGGATGATGAAACCAGCACCAGGAATAATGACTTAGGAAACGAAGGGACTAACCCTTCAGGCACTGGCAGAGAAGATGGACCCTCTGAGAGGTCTTCCCTCTCTCCCCCTCCCTTCCCTCCCTCCCCACGCCGGCTCTCGCCCTCCCCCACCTCCTCCGCTGAGTTCAGAGGTTATCTGGACCATCTGCCGGAGATGAACCTACCATGGCAACCTCTGCGCAGCGTGACTCGCTGTGCCTGTGGTCGAGCCTTCACCTTCCTCGTCTCTAAGGTCAGCAAAGAAATGACAAACCCACCTTTTAAGAGTCATTGATTTTCCCCTCCGTCTCACCCTCCAGTACCACTGCTGTTACTGTGGCACAGTCTCCTGTAATGTGTGTGCAAGCAACGTCGCCCCCCTGCCCTGGCACGCCACCCAGCAACCCCACAGAGTCTGTCGCCCCTGTCATAAACTGATGAAACGAAGACTAGAGATGGAGATCAGCGAAGCTGCCTCCAACACCTAGCCATAGTCACACACAGACACTTTCTCAATGTGGTCTTGTGAGTGTGAAAAAACTTTCTTTGAACAATAGTATCACAGTATAATAATGTGTCGCTACCATAGACCTCTAGTCAGTCTCTCTGTTGATGACACTCTTCACAATGCCACAAGCCTCCACCAACTGTTCCTCTGTGATGATAAGTGGGGGGGCCAGTCTTATGATGTCATCATGCGTGGGCTTGGCTAGCAGGCCGTGGTCTCTCAGCTTTAGACACACGTCCCATGCAGTGAACCCTGTGGTGGACAGAACATCTGACTGTGTGTATAGCTAGCCCCCCTCTCTCTGCACACCTGGGATAGGAGTGATGACGATAGCAAAGAACAAGCCCCTTCCTCGTAGTGTGTGGACCACTGAGGGGTCTAGTTGACTCAACTCCCTCCTCAACACACCCTCCATGGCAGCTGCATTCTCCACCATCCCCTCCTCCCTCAACACCTGCACACACACACACACACCTCACCCGACTCCCACTTTACACACTGTCACATGCCTACCTCCATAGATGCAATGGCCACTCGACCCGCAAGAGGACTACCTCCAAATGTCGACCCATGCTGTGTGTATGGAGCAGTACATACGTACACATACACACTCAACAACATAGAGTGCAGCTAATGCACTGCAGTTTGACAATGGAGAGATTATCTCCACCAATAGCCACATTGAAATTGCCTGAAGTACATGAGACATTGGCCAACATGTCCTGCACTCATACCTGTCCAGGTTTGATTGTGAGCATCACCTCATCATCAGCAAGAACACAGGACACCTGAGAGGGAAATCAGTCATGGAGACACAGAGGTCCAGACAGAGAGACCCCAAGACTCACTGGAAACAGTCCTCCAGAGAGAGACTTGCCCAAGATCACAACGTCGGGCCTCACTCCTTCGTGATCCACAGCCAGCATCCTTTCATCATTGGAGGTAATGAGGAATCAATCAGGTCACTAGCTGGACATGACTGACTCACCTCCCGGCCCTACCAAGTCCACACTGTACTTCATCTGACACAAAGAGAACCTACAAGTTGCAGGGGAAATTAGACGGAATTACATATTGAATTCCTCACATTGTGTCTGGAGCAGACGTCTCTGACTCCTCTGAGGTAGCCATCAGTGGGGAGAACCACTCCATTTTCTCCCTGGATTGGCTCCACGATAAAGGAACATGTATTTGGGTCTGAGCATGCCTCCTGTATTTACCGCAGAACACACACCTATAAAACAGGGTATTGCATTAATAGCCGAGCCCACCTCCAGAGCGTCAAGATCGTCGAAAGGGATCTTATGGATTCCAGGGAGGTATGGTCCGTAGCCTCCGTAGCTCTCGGGGTCCGTGGAGGCAGACACCGCCGTCATGGAGCGACCGTGGAAGTTGCCCTCCACGAAGTATATCTTTGCTTGGTTGGTCGGTATCCCTTTCACGTCGTAGCCCCAGCGACGGGACAGCTTGACTGCCGTCTCCACGGCTTCCACGCCAGTGTTACTGGGGAGCATCTTGTCGTAGCCCAGCATCTTCGACATGCACTCGGCGAACTCCCCCAGCACGTCGTTGTAGAAGGCCCGGGATGTGAGCGTCAGTTTGGACGCCTGCTCGCTCAGCGCCGCCATAATCTTGGGGTGTCTGTGGCCCTGATTGACGGCAGAGTAGCCGCTGAGAAAGTCGAAGTACCGCTTCCCCTCCACGTCCCAGACGAAGATTCCTTCCCCGCGAGAGAGGGCGACCGGGACCGGCTGGTAGTTGTGTGCACTGAATTTCTTCTCCCTCTCTATGACCAGCTCCCCGGGAGAGGCCGCTGACTTCTCGGAGACTTTGCTGGCCGTGGAGAAGGGCTTCGCTTTGGAGCTCTGCCGCGTCCAGAGGCCACGGCCCAGTGAGCCCAGCCTCCTCATGACAACTGCCATCTCTCCACAGAGTCTAGTCCCCTAGTACGTCCTTTGTGCAATTGCGCGCATGCAATAGCACAAACTGGTAAGTGCGCATGCGTGAAGAACGGACGGACCGCAACATCGACGCAATGCTCGCAGACAATACCTCGAACACCGACCAATAGAGATGTATGAATGGCAAGAGCCTGTCGCCTCCTTTTACATACAACCTCAAATGTATGCTGTATGCTAATGCACGCTGCAATATTCGCACGCGTCACGGGAACGAGAGACGGTGAAAGAAAGTAAGTCAGTCTTCATCGAGCAGCCGTTCTGGTCGTAGCAAAAGCTTCGAGAATTAACACAGTGAGAAAGACAAGTAACAGCAGTGGAGAGAGTATAAAAGATGGACGGAGGAGATTACAACCCAGACGGTATGATGGTGGAGGAGCCGACAATGTTCAGCTACCAGTCCTGCATGAACTTCCTACTGGTCCTACTTATCTGTGCAACGTGTCCCATCTCCCTCCCCATCCTGGCCGCCTGCTGGTGCTGCCAGAACTTCTGTCTGATGGGAGAGATGTGTATGGGGGAGGCCATGGGGGAAGGGGCAGAAACTGCTCTCATTTGACACATGGCACCAACTTCTCTCACCCATCCCACCTACAACTTCTTCACTATAATATATACTGAAAAAATTTCATTACAATATCATACAAAGAACCAACAGAAATCATTTCTTGAAATGTTCCAATAGGTTTGTGTTGGCACTGTAGTTCACAGGCAGAGTGAAGTTGAGTTTCTGAGCCCCGAGGATGGCTCCGCCCACTGCACTAGATACACACAGTTTCACCACTGACAGATCACTCACCACCTCCCCCACTACCGACAGGAACCCTGAGACACACAGAGAGAGAGGAAATAATTGTTACATTGCAAAAATTTGCAGATTAGAATTTATTTTTAATGACAATTTTGCCCACAACACTGAAGGTTGTTTCTCGCTGAGATTTAAGATTTCACACAGTGAGACTTAATTACCTGCAAAAATGCACCTAACACTATGCCTGTAATGTTGTGCTAGTTGTAGACCTCTCTCTCTCCCCCACCTTCTCTGAGGAGGTCCCAGCAGTGGGTGAGAACTGAACCAACGGCCACGATGCGAAGTCCTCCAGGTGTCTTAGAAAACGGCTCCTCTGCCTGTGGGACCAGGGCCTTCACATGGGCTCCCAGGATCTCTCCTGCATCCCAGAACACCTGCCTTGCCAGCTTGTCACCCTTCCTTGCCACTGGAAATGGGAACACCAGTGGAAAAAGAGGTGAGAAGGAGACAGACTGCTTGCCCAGTACATTCTACATATCTCTGCATTAAGAATGGATCTTAATTGAATGTTTCTCTTATAATGCTCCACACACACTACCATTTGGTTTGGCTCACATTCAGCGAGGGGTTTGCAGAGAGTGGCAATGTGTGACTTTTCAAACTTCTCATAGAGATGGTCGAGAATGTCATACCTCTTCTCCAGCTGAAGAGAAACACATGCACACACAGTCCCTCACTGTATAGCTGTGGCCACCTTGAAGTGTTCAAAGACAAGATTCTTGACGGCAGCGTAGTCATGGGCAGGCGTCACCAGCCCATCTTCTGCATCATACACCGTTCGAATGGTCCTGTGGCTGAGCCAGTAACCTGAGGAGAATTATACCACAAGAGAGGCATTTTGTTCATGCTATAATGACTTCATACCAGAGCCGCCATCGCCCAGCATGTGACCCCACCCCCCACAGCGAGGGGCGGAGCCTGATGGGTTGAGTAGCTGACAGTTTGAGCCCGTCCCTGAGATGAGGACCATTCCTCCTGCCAGCCAGTCAGACGGGGGGAGAGATGTTCCAAACTAGCGGTAGTCTCAGACTGCACCTCACCTTTGGGAAAGGCAGTGGCTATGGAGCCAAAGGTGTCGGTACAGACGTGGTGCACACTGGCTGTGTTGGGGTGTTTGCTAGTCATCCCCTCCGCGATCCTCCGCTGGGCCTCTGCCTGCTCTCCTCCACTCAGAGCCATTCCCTGTGTACGACACCATCACTGATCCAGATCAATGCCAGTGGGAGGCTAACTAGCGAGTCCAGTGGCTTGTCCTGAGGGATTCCAGCGTCTGTTTTGGCCTTCTTAACCATGGTCGCCAGCTCTTCCACGGCGCGGTCGAAGACCGATGCCCCATGGGTTAGTGCCCGGTCCGGAGGAGGAGCCAACCTGCTCTCCTCTCTCGTTCAGGATGACGCAGTCCGAGTGAGACCCACCGCTGCTCTGACCAGAGCAAGTGAGGCACGCACCAGGAAGGTGTTTTCTCCATCTTACCCCTGTATTCCTCCGAAGTAGCGAGCCATTCTCCTCGATTCTAGTCCTGCAGCGGATGTTCCACGCCTTCTTTTCTTCAGCAGAGCTTCAGCAGGTTCGCGCATGCGTAGCGTTGCCTGCCACGTGTGTCGCTCCTCAGCGAAGAGGAAGACGCACTCTACCTCTTACTGATTCCATGAGCGACTTCCCCTCGTCAGAAGTTCCGTCTATTCCCTGGAGTGAAGCACTTTCGCGCATACCGCTGGGCATCACTGAAGCGCCTGGTCCGCCGACGGCTGCAGTCTCTCATCGCCGTATTGCTGGCAAGAAGACGCGGCGCAGTCCGACAGTGTCCCCGCGTCGCTCCATCGGGAGAGCATCCTCAGACGAAGAGCAGTATCGCAGCATGCACAAGTGAGTGTGCGGAGACTATTGTAATGCAGGTGTGACTTCATTGACTGTGTGTGCATGTGCAGCGGGAGCGAGGTGGAGAGCTGGGATCCAATGGCCAGCGACTACCGGTCGCGAGAGTTTAACTCGTACGAGACTGGAGCTGGAGCACTCATGCAGGCGGCCAAGGAATCAGGCGGAGGAGACTTCACTCTCTTTGTGACCAACATACCCCTTGGCCTCCCAAAGGTCTGTAGTCAGATAGCATAGATAGCATAAATAGCGTGAGTTCGAGATGATACACACCTTACCCCTACCACGTTTCACTCCTTCTCTCACTCCTGCAGGAAGCCTTCAGAGAACTCTTTGGTCGTGCTGGGCAAGTGAAGAAAGTCTACATCCAGAAGGGCACTACTGACAGAGAAACGACATATGGGTTAGTATTCCTCACTTCCCACGATACACACATGCTTGTAGTTAGCACCACCTCAAGTGATGACTTCCTCTTCCATTTGTCGGTGCAGGTTTGTGGACTATGGGACGATTCGAGAGGCCGAGAGTGCCATTCAGATGTTGAACGATTTCGACATGGGCAGCGGAGTACGTCTGGTGGTGAAGGTATCGGAGACAAAGGAGGACCGAGACAAGAGGGCTGGCCAAGAAGAGGGAGGAGGAGGGGTTTTTGAGCACTCTGAACTGTGGGAAGTACGCAGCCAAAGAAGAGAAGCCAGCTGTCAGGAACGGCTATGAGTTGACAGAGTATGAGATGCAACACTGCAAGACGAGCCCGTTTCTCCCCACGTACAGGCCCAGAGACCCCACTCCCAGCTCCCCCCAGGACCCAGGGGGTTCGCAGGAAGACGGAGGTGAGCACAAGGGGGCCGGGGGGTTCTCCCTTGGGGGGTCTGGTGGAGCCCTCAGTCTGCAGGCTTCGTTTGATGCTGGCAAACCTGCAGTTCCCTCCAGTTCATCTTCTGAGCTTAAAAACTGCACAATGTGTGGCAAACGGTGCAAGTTGAGTTGCCAGCGGTGCAAGGCTCCGTACTGTGGGAGGGAGTGCCAATCTAGGGACTGGAAGAGACACAAAGCCGGGTGTCGGGGGCCTGGGGAGGAAGACATGGGAAGGAAACCAGGTTCAGCTGATTCGCGGGAGGCTCGGGGAACTCAGAGCTAGTGATTCGAGAGAAAGAGCACAGCGAAGACGAGGGTTTTGACATTCCAACCCCTCCCATGGAAGAGTTGATGGACGTTCTTCAGCAGAAGCCAGTCTCATGTGGAAAGACCCAGCCTGCGAAGGTCCATAGCACTGGTGGTGTCAGTAAGCCGCCAACACGCCAGCATAGTGTGGGAGGGCAGACGCCACTCTCTCTTCCAATAGTCAGTCCGACTATCCGGACCCAGTGGATGAACCACTCAGCTTGTTCCCCTGTCTCTCCTTCCAACCCCCAGACCCAGTCGCTGAACAACTCAGTTAGTTCCCCTGACTCTCCTTCCAACCCACCACCACCCACCAACCCTACTCCACCTGTGGCTGTCCTACAAGGCAGCAAACCCAATGCTCCCTCGGAGGTCCTGAAGGTGTTCCAATCCCCGGGCCCCCCTCTCCCCTCCCTCCCTCTTGGCTGCCAGCCTCCAAAGAGATTCAAGGCAGTAGTGACCAGCACCCTCTCTGGTACAAGATTCAGTGCTGTTCTGATGAGTGTGGAGGTAAAACAAGCCCTCAAATGTATCGCAGATTGTGCGGCCTCTGGTCAGCTCTTGCCTGCCGATCCTTACAATCTGGTCGTGGGGTCAAAGGTCGGGTTCATAGACGACGATGGGGAGTTGTACCGAATGGAGGTGAGAAGGATGCACATGGGTAACGGCAGTATCGACCTGTGTTTCCACGACTTTGGAGGGAGCATCCGGACCAGTTACTCTCGCCACAGCCTTGTCACTCTCCCCGAACAAGTGGTGACAATCCCCTGTCTCAAGTACCGATGTGGTCTACCAACACTGCAGTGTAAAGATTACCATGGGTGCGAACACTTGAGTAATATAGTCAGAAATTGCGCGGTCCAAATGACCACTCTCTCGCAGCAAGTGACAAGCACAAACTTTGTCTATTACCTCTGCGCAGTACAGCTCCCTGACGGCAGAGAGCTCGAGCCACTCATGGCTCAGTTCTTGGAGACAGCTCCCACCCCTCGAGGTGGTGCTCCTCTAATCAAGTTCCCACCTCTTCTCTCTAACTCCTCGCCAGCGTTCAAGCCTCCAGTGCCCCAGCCTCCCAAGACCAGCAACCTCAAACTGATGTACATGGCCAAAGATGTGTCCGTGCGCCCAGTTCCCTCTGAGACTCTCTTTATGATTGTGCCGCGGGTCGTCGACAGCCCCTATTCCATCTGGGCCCACGTCATCCACCCTCAACTTGGTGCACTCAGTCGCTTTGCAGGAAGACCTGAAGAGAGAGTACGGTGGACGGGAGGGGAAAGGTCGGGTCTACTCTCCCAGAGTTGGGGAGTTGTGTGTAGTGAGCCACTGTGAGGACCAGCAGTACTATCGCGCTGAGGTTACTTGCGTCAACAACAATGGGACGGCTGACGTTCGGTTTGTTGACTACGGTCAGCGAGAGATGGTTCTGTTGTCGCAGGTTCAGCACATCGAACCTGTCTTCCTCACCCTCCCTCTCCAGGCCGTCCACTTCTCCCTGGTGGGTGTGGCTCCCAGTGGCCACGCCCTCAGCTGGGCGGACGACGCAATCGCCTACCTGAAGAACAAGATTCTGAACAAGAAACTGGATGCCAGACTGGTGTCCACCAGCCGGCAGGGGATCCACTCTGTGACTCTCTCCAACTCTGCCAACGGTGGAAAGTCGGTTGTGGAGGAGATGATCAACCATGGCTGGTGTGTGAGGTCCTCTGACATGAAGAAAGACACCTCCGCTGGCAAGATGGCGGGTGTGAAGATGGTCCAGTCGCCTGATGCCCCGAAATCTCCTGCCAGCTCTCCTCCTCCTCTTTTCACCCTCTCCTCTTTCCCGCAACCAGTCGCACCTCCTCAAACTGCAACCCGCGGTTCGCCAGCTAAAGAAACAGTTGACAAGACACGTGAAAACAGCTCTCCATCGACTAACTTCTCTTCTCCTCAAACTGGTGCAAGAAGAGGGCGGGGTCCTGTGTGTCGTGCTACAGAGGTCAAAATTCCAGGATTAATCTCCCAATCAATGCGGACGTGGAGGCACTGGTCACCTCTGTCATCAGTCCGTTCCAATTCCACGTCCAGCCTCTGGACAAACAATCACTCAACACTCTGAAAGAAATTTCCAACAAGCTGAACAGCACAACGCTAGCTCCCTTCCCTCCCGGCGGAGAGTTCCCCATGTTCTGTGCTGCCAGGTTCTCTGAGGACCAAATGGTTCATCGCGCAAGGATCTGGAAGCAAAGTAGTCCCAACTATTAGTGAAGTTCATTGACTACGGAAATTCCGAAACTGTTCCCCAATCAGACGTGTACATTCTCCCGGCCTCTTGCGCTGAACTACCTGCACAGGCAGTGTTTTGCGGTCTGAATGGTCACCATCCTGTGAGCCAGACACCAGACAAGCAACCTTCCCAGCAGTGCTCTCAGGACTTCAGGTCATTGGTTGGGAATAGAGAGGTGGTCATCACTACCTGCGCTGTCCTGGACACTTTTCAGTCTCGCTACCCCAAAAACACCTCGTGGACTTGCGCGACAAGAACGGGAAGATGCGCGCTGGGCCTGGTGGGTGGAGGCTGGACACGCGAAGGACGAGAGAAGCTCACCGAGGAAGCCAAAGAAGACTGGTGGCGGAAAGAGGCCTGGGTCTGCGGAGGGTGGGGGAGGGAAGAGGGGCGCGGGGAAGGGAGGATGGGAGGGAGGACCTAGGAAGGAAGGGGGAGGAGAAGTGGGGGAGGAGGAGGGGGAGGTTGGAAGAAGAGAGGGAATGAGAATGAAGGTTCTCCCTCTAAATGTGGGGAGCAGACGCAGCGGCGAGCCCAACAAAATCGTCTCCCTTTGGAGGTGGATTTGGGTCAAGAGAGAACGACATTGAAAATGTAGCTCCTGGCAATGCTGCAAATGGAGAGACAGCAGCAGAAAGTCCATTAAGTCCATCTCTCTCGCAGGAACCTCCAGCAATCATCACAGAGAGCATTGCCCCCGAGCCCCCACTACCTGACTACCCACCAGTGTCGACTCTTGCCAGAACTGAGCTTCCATCTGACATGGAGTTTGTGGAAGTCATCATCACCTCGTTGGCCGACCTCCCAAACTTTTACGTCCACCTGGCAACAGAGCAGAGTCACCACGAGCTCGCTAAGCTGTTGGACGAACTCAACTCAGGTACTCTCCCCGCCCCATCTTCGCACCCTCCGTCGCAAGGCCAGGTGGTCGTCTGCAAGTACCCCGTGGACAACGTCTGGTACAGAGCCTCTGTCGTCGGGACACACGATGACAAATCCGTTGTCAAGTTTATCGATTACGGCAACGAGGAGGTCGTACCGTTGGCAAACGTTGTTCCCTGTCCACCAGAGCTGCTCAAGCAACCAGTCCTCTGTGTCAAGTGCACCCTCCACGGAGTGTACCCCCCGCCTCCTGCTTACCACTGGTCGCCAGAGGCTGCCTCGTTCCTCCAGCAGTACTGTGGGAGGACTCTGCTGGTTCGTATGGAGTCCCGCGATGCCCTCCACGGAACCCCCTCCGTACACCTCGTGGATTCCTCAGGCTCTGGGGAAATCTCCATCGCTGTCGAGATGGTCCGTGCCGGTCTGGCTGCACCGAGCCCCCCATCCACACCAAAGACGCCACCAACTGAACCATCTCCCACTACCTCAACCGCCACTCCACCCTCGTCTGTGAAGAAAGACGACCAGTCTGTAAGATACCTCTCTCGAATCAAACTTCCCAGAGAAAGTGAGTTTGAGGTTCTGGCCCTGAGTGTCAGTTCCTTCACTGGTGTGTACATACACCCAGTGTCTCCCGAAACACCCCACTATCTTTCCACTTTCATGAAATCCATCTCAGAGTTCTGTTTTGCCCAGACCACACCCCCAGCCACACACCCTCCAGTTGGACACTACTGCCTGGCTCTGTTTGACGGCAGTTGGTACAGGGCAAAGGTCGAGTCGTTTGACTCCGCCCACAGCAATCTGGGTGTTTTCTTCGTCGATTATGGCAATCGAGAAACGGTCCGACTGACCCAGATTCGATCGATGCCTGCCCAATTTACCGATGTCCCGAAGCTGGTTCTCAAATGTGCGCTGTACGGAATAGAGCCCCGTACTGCCTTGGAACCGGACCCCACCATCCTGGCTCTCTTCAGCCAGCTGGCTACCAGCTCCACATTAAAGTGTCGCGTCGTGAGCTACCAGCCTCTCCTGGTTGACCTTGTAGACCCTGCAACCAGCTGCTCTCTGAGGGACAAGCTGGGCCTCTCTCCCCTCCCTCCCACTGCCCTGTTCTCCGTGGAGACCAGCTCCCTGGGAGAGGGAGGCAAGTCCCATGTCCAAGTGACTGAGGTCCACGGACCCAACGACTTCTGGGTCCAATCGGTTGAGTCTCCCAACCTGCACCAGCTCAACCCACTCATGGAGAAGATACACAGCCACTGTTTGAGTGTGTCTCCCTCTCACCCTCCGGTACTGGGAGAGCTGTCGTGTACAAAGTTCTCAGAGGACCAGACGTGGTACAGGGCAAGGGTCATCGGCTTCCCCTCTCTCACACAGTGCAAAGTTCGTTTCCTTGACTACGGGAATTGTGAAGTGTGTGAGGTGTCGACGGTGGTTCCGGCTACAGAGGAGCTGCTGCAGCTCCCGGGGTTGGCCATCCACTGTGGTCTGTATGGCCAGGAGACCACGGGGGAGAGGGGGGACGGGGGCGGGGGGGATTTCAGGGTTATGGTGGAGAACCAGATACTGGAGGTTGAGGAGAAGGGGTGGGGGAGGGGACAGGCTGTGGTGGCTCTGACTGGACCGAACGGTCCTATCGAGATATGATGTAAGACTGTGTATATAGACTTGTAACAATGAACCCTCTACCCTCACTTTGCCATTATCACTATTCATCAATCAACCCCTTCACATCACAAGTCCATTCATTCATAATCATCCCATTTTCACTGATTCTCCTCTCAAATAATGATCTTTGTTGTTTGCTGAAAACAGCATTTGCGAACTCAGTCAACCGGCCGGTATGTGTGATGAACCAAAATGAACAAAATGTATTATCTCATGAAAGTCGTATAATTCCGAAAGTCATGGTGCAGGATGAGTTAGCAAAGAACTGAGAGAAGAGTGATGATAGTGATACAGTGGGTTGTGGATCAGTTCAGTGGGTGGGGCTAGAACTTTATCTCCTGAACTTCGCCCTCCAGCATCTCAATGGGGCAGTAGGGGCACTTGAGTCGGCTGAGGGCAGAACAATGTTAGCAGCATTGGTTGAGATCGAGGTCTTGGGTATACCTGCGTGACTGGATGATGAGCTTCTTCATTGCATCTCTGGAGATGGCATGACCACACAGCAGTCTTACCGGAGGATTTCCATCTGACAGACACAATTGGCCAGATTATATGATGGACAGTAAATCATTCAGCCAGCTCACAAACAAATACACCACTCCTTACTGCTAGAGTTGCAAAGCTGGCTACTATACTATACCAGTGGTTTGTTGCCTGAGGATGGGGCAGGTGAAGACAGAGTGATAGCGTCTCTCCCAGCCAAGGTTGACCTCACAAGGGAGCTCGTCCCTACTCCAAATGTCGGAGACCTGTCGCTGGACCATGACCGACCGCAGGTGGAGGAGCTGCGGGAGAGCCAGACACCCTGCAGACAGACTGACGGAGGGAGAGGAGAGGGAGAGGAGAGGGAGCAAGCTCTGTTACCATTCTTCACAAATGTACTCCTGTTTTAAGTGATGAGGCACACAATCTTGCTGGTGTTTCATAAAGGAGAGCTAGCTACAGAGGTATATACTCCCTCACCTGACTCTGAGAGGACTCTCCAGAGAAAGGCCGAGGAGCTTGCAGGCGTCTCTGGCAAACATGTCCGCCACCTCCGTCCAGTGCCAGGGGTCAAGGAGGTCGGCGTATGGACTCTGCTCCAGACCTCGGTGGGCAAACAGGAAGCAACCCATCAGCCTCTTGATCTCTGGGAGATGGGTGGAGGAGGGGATGCCATTACAACAATGTTTGTGTCAAAGACAAGTGGAGCTAATGTGAAGATCTCTTTATGATTAAGACGGGTGGACTAATGGAAGTGAGGCAGGCAAGTGGAGCTAATGTGAAGATCTCTTTATGAGACTGGTGGACTAAGGGAAGTGAGGCAGGTGGACTAATGGAAGTGAGGCAGGCAAGTGGAGCTAATGTGAAGATCTCTTTATGATTAAGACGGGTGGACTAATGGAAGTGAGGCAGGTGGAGTGGAGGAAGGACTGACCGAAGATGTGTTTGGGGGCAAACTGGCCGAGGATTTTAGCGTATGCCAGAGCCTCTGAGGTGTGGCCTCCACTGAGGAGAGAGAGGAACTTGAGCTGTCGCAGTTTGAACTCCAGACAGCTGCCGTGGGCCAGCAGCCGCTCCCTGTGGACCACCGCCCATCTGGATGGGGGAACAGACACACACTTACCACCACTGATATGGTGAAATGTATTCAGATGATTTATGAACCTAGGCTTGCTTGCAATGTGCATAACAACTGAATTGGGAAACTGCACAAAATACATTTCTTGCAGTATAGTATTCATTTCCTCCGTCTCTCTTGTAATGACTGTCCGTCTGTGTTTCCCCATCTGTCTAATGTACTCACTCTGATGTACTAACTCTGACATACTCACTCTGATTTACTCACTCACTCTAAAGCAGGTTCAACATTGCGAGATCGCAGTGCCTCCAGAACAAGGTTGAGTTCTGTGAACTGTCCCAGGTACGACTGGTCCAGCTCCAGTTCCGCCTCCTGAGATGAGAGAGAGAGAGAGAGGCAGTCTCAACTAAACATCTTCTCCTCCTCCTCGCCAACCTTCATCAAAGTTTCTCCAACCTCCATCTTCCCCTGCCGGAACAAGTGCTCACAGATTACTCTATTCAGCTCCAGACACGGCTGACCGGAGAACGCACCGTCCACATTCATAGCAGAGATGTCCGCACTAAAGTTCTGATCAATACAAGATAGTGTATTATTGCAGGGGTTTGGTTGATTGCCCCCCATACCTTGTCAATGGCCTTGCCCAGTTTGGATATAGTGGCGTGCATGTCTTTGTGTTCGTTGGAGGCAGCCTGCGCGGCCTCCTTGATGCTATACAGGCACTGACGAACAGCCTCTCTCTGTGCCTCGCTCACCTTCGCGTCCGGAGCTGCACAAACACATGGACGGAGAGAGAGGGTAAACGGTCTCGCTCACCAGCAGCTGTCAGTAACTCTTTCAGCGCCTGTATTTGGTGGAGGACTTGTTGCAGCTTCTCCGTGGCCGATCCGGACACCGCCTTCAGCTTCTTGACGACCTTCTCCTGCTCTCTCTCCACCGCCAGACAGGCCTCCATCTTTTGTCAGAGTGTGCAAATTACAGGGTCTCACTCAAACATGTGACGTCAGTAACGCTACCACGTGTGTACGCGTGTGTACGCGTGTGTGTGCGAATGCGACCGAGCTCTGTGAAGAGATGTGGCGACCTTTGACAGATACATGCAGAACAATTGTTCTAGTGCCCAGAAGAGCCTTAAGGACTCTGGAAGGCGGCAGCGTGCCTCACGTGACGCAGAAGCAGATCCGTGCCGTGCTGGACTCCAACAAGTACAAGTACAGTGTGGGCCACGCGTCGTTCGTTCTCCAGTGCCCGTTCTGCGACGGGCAGAGGAGCAGCGGTGGGCGGCGGACCATGTTCGTCAATAAGACTACTGGAGGAGTTGTTTGCAAGCCTTGCGACGTACGAGGTAAGGACGGGGAGGTACAGGGGAGGTAACCACAATGCAGACCCTAGCTCTCTTCTAGGTGCCTGGACAGACTTCCTGGGCTGGGTGTCCAAGTCGAAGGCGCCAAACCCCGCGTCCAGCAAGGTTCCGCGGGTGGTGCCTCCGTCAGACACGCAGCAGTTGGCAAGCAGACGAGCTGCCCAGCAGTTCTGGAGCAGCACCACTCCCTGGGAGGAGACCCCTGCAATCATCCAGGACCAGGCCAGGAGAGCGTTTGGTATCAAGGTGAGCTGCGGTCTTTGTTACTGCGTTTTCTGTGTGGCTGTTAGGTGGAGTTTCTCTCCTGCAGAAACTGCAGCAAAAGTACCTGAAGAAGTACACCATTCACACTGTCAAGACGGAGGTGAGGTGACACACGTCAAACAGCACAGTAGCAGAGCATACGATCCTTGGTGCTACTACTACTTAGGTATGCACACGTGTGGCAAGTTGAAAAAAGAGTTTGTCTTTTTGGTGCAGTTCCACACCGTGTCGGGGAGAGAGGAGGTGTGGTGTGTGGCGTACCCCTGGTACGAGGGAGGGGAGGTGGTGAGGGTAAAGGTGGAGAGGGTGGGGGAGGGCCCTCAGAGGCAGCTGGCTCTGGAGCCCGCAGAAGGCTCCCCTGGTCTCTTTGGATGGAACACCATCTCCTCTGATGCTAAAGAGGTCAGTTGACTCACAAGGCAGTGTACGCTGACCCAAAGCTCTGAACATTTTGTTGTCTAATTGTAGGTGGTGATTACTGGCTCGGAATTCGATGCAGTGGCAGTCCACCAAGCAACTCAGGTACCAACTGTTGCCCTGCCGAGTGGAACCCTTGCCCTCCCGCCTGAGGTGCCTCCCAGACACAGGACTGTCTTTCTCACATTGTCCTGCTCTGTCTCCTCCTCCTAGGTTCTTCCACAGCTGGAGCAGTTTGAGAAGGTGTACCTGTGGCTGGGGGGTGGGACCACCGCCAGACAGGCTGCCTCTCATTTTGCCAGGAAACTGGGTCCCAACCGCTGCCACCTCGTCTGGTGAGTCTTCCACTGGGGGACGAACGGAGGGGGTGGAGCTAAGTGTCACAAGTATTCGAGACATTACAAAATGCGAGTGAAAATGAATGTATTATAGGATGCTTGAAATTAATTTGGCGTTTGTGAAACAAGTGTTCCCTGTCCAGTCTTGACTCAAGTTCCTCGCCACTGGCAGCTCTCAATCGAGGCCACACCCACCTGATGTCAGCTCTGAAGAATGCCAAGCCATTTGTGAACAAGCAGATTGTCACCTTTCAGCAGGTCAGTATCACTGCACACCGTATCACTGTACCAGTGTATGCCTCTCCATGCACTTTAGCTCAGAGAAGAGGTCTACAGTGAACTCTGCAATGCCAACCAAGTCGCGGGGGTCAAAGTCCGTATGAGTCACATGGCGGAGGTCAAAGTCTAACTTGTCCTCATGTTGCAGTGGCAGAGGTTTCCGAAGCTGACTCAGGCTCTGAAGGGCCACCGACCTGGAGAACTGACAGTCTTCACTGGAGTCACAGGAGCCGGGAAGACCACCCTCATCAGCGAACTCTCCCTCGACCTCTGCCAGCAGGGGGTGAGGGGGCGTGGTCGGTGGGCAGAGTCTCGGTAATGGGTGCCGTCTCCCATTAGGTTGCCACTCTCTGGGGCAGTTTCGAGATCAGGAACGTGAGGCTTGCCAAGATGATGCTAAAACAGTTCTCAGGGTTAGTGCCCAACTGCTCTTGCTACATTTAACCCCTTTTCTCCTGCTACTTAATTAACCCTTTCCAGACTGAACCTGGAGCGTCATCTGAAGCAGTATGGTTACTGGGCCAACCAGTTCCAGCAACTACCTCTCTACTTCATGGGTTTCTATGGAGCAGCTGACATCTCCTCTGTCCTAGAGGTCTATCTCCCTCTCTCTCCCTCCCTCTTTACATTCCCTGCTGTTAGAGTCTCTCTCTCTCTCTACCTTTGTTCTGGCTCTGTGATAGTTGTGTCTCTTCCCCGCAGACAATGGCTCATGCAGTGTACGTGTACGACATCCAACATGTGATAATAGACAACCTTCAGTTCATGCTGGGCGCCTCCCACCACGCCTCCCTCGACCGATATGCCGTCCAGAACATGGCAGTCGCCGAGTTCCGCAAGTTTGCCTCTTCCAGAAACGTCCACGTCACCGTCGTCATCCACCCCAGGAAGGTCAGAGGTCACATCCCTCCCACCCTCTAGAGTGCCAGCATTGTGCCAATACAGGAGAGTGAGAGTTCAGAGCTGACGACTGCATCTATATTTGGGACGGCCAAAGCCACTCAAGAGGCTGACAATGTCCTCATTCTCCAGTCTGGACATGGCTCCTCCAAACTCTTACAGGTACCTTCCTGCGTGTGTGAAACCGACTATTGGCTCCTGTAGATACCTTACTGCCCACCGGCACTTACTGGCATGTTTACGAACTAACAGTTGCAGAACCAAGGGTTTACAGCATGTTTGCCTGTGTACCACTCACCAATTGCGCAATCTCTCTGTCGTCCTGTTCCTGGTGTAAAGGTAACAAAGAACAGGTTTGACGGGGACCTGGGACGAGTTCCACTGGTTTTTGAAAAGAACTCTCTCACCTTCTCTGGACTCCACCTCCGGCAGAGGAAGAGAGAGGGCGTGGCTTCTGGGAGTGGTGACCACGCCCCACCAGCACTGCGTGTCGTCTCGGACACAGAGGGAGCTCAGATGAGTCACGCCCCATTCTCAGAAAGCCACACCCACACCCCTATTGGAGCAACATTGAAATCTGTAGCTGAGACTGAGTCCTCTGCAGGTCTGGTATTCAGAAGATCATGTACTTATTTATATACTAACCCATTGCCCTTGCTAGCAAAGCATGTCTGCCTACATTGCATGCACTTGGCGGTGTGTACATGAGTGAAATACCGAAAATGCCCCCTGAAAGATGTTGGTGCCCCCCCCACTGAGAGTTAGCAATGACGTGTGATGTGTGCAGAGTATGATGATGTGTTATGACAGGGTCGAGGCCACTTGCAGCGAGGGCTGTCCCAGCATCAGGCAGCAAGCAGAAGCCGTTCAGAAGATCTTTCAGGAAGAAGCCGTCGGCTGCAGTAGGGGCAAAGTCTAGTGAGGGGAGGGGAGATGGAGGGAGGGCTGAGGACGAGAAGGGAGAGACATCAGGCTCAAAGGCGTCTGAACTCTGCTCAGACTGTGTCAGTGTTGTAAATTCGTAGTGTGTTTATCTAATCCTTTCTCTGTCAGCATTTCAAGAGTATTCCTCATTTCTATCGTTACTTGCATTCAAATGTAGTTCATTTATCATTGTCATTCAGAGAAAGCAATTGAACACAAACCAAAACATTATGATCTCTGGTGTCAGTGTGAGGGACAGGAACAGAGGAGGCGGCCTGCATGCAGTATATAATACAGGTCGGTGGGTAGCATCAAGTCCGATGGTAGAGTCCGTTGCTGTCAGGTCTCTGGTAGCTGTCTCCTGAGGTGGGGTGGTGGGTGGTGGGGACGTTTTGAGCCGAGTTTGTCTCCTGAGGATCTTCAACTGAGAACACAAGAACTGCTTGAGAGAGGAGTTAGCATAAGAGGAGAGACGTACAGTTTTCTACAGGCTCTGCTTCCCCGATGACCTCGTAGTCCTCGGAGTAGTAGGAGGAGGTGGACGAGGAAGACGGTCGATTCTGTCGCTGAGTCTCATCCTGCGAGTCAGGTCTGGCGGCCTCTCCACCATCTACCTGCTGCTGCTGCTGTTGGGCCCTCTGAGTCTGGAGGAGAGTCTCTGTGATGACTGCCTGGCCCTGTGGCAGGGAGACAGAGGAGGAAGAAGAGGAAGACAAAGAGGAGGTATATACAGAGGAGGTCGAGGGGGGAGAAGGGATAAGAAAGAGAGGTAGACCTTGATGGCCGAGGCGACGACAGTGGTAGCTGCAAGGTTGATCCCGTGCTGGGTGACTTTCCCCAACACTTTCTTCCCCCTCTCTCCAATGTTCAGCAGAGTTTCATCGATCTCTGTCTCATGTTTACCAGGAATGGGTGGATCACCACCCGGTACAGCTGCTTGGAGCCCTACACACCACACACCACACACACACACACACACACACACACACACACATTTGACACTGCCAGGTCTGGGGGCTGCTACATGTACATACATCATTCTTGTTGAAGATGGGAGTTTGATATTAGCGTGGGAGAGTTGGCTACCGACAAAAGATATTCATTAATTCACTGCTCTAGTTCTCGGGGTCTTGCATATTTGAATACTTGTGCATGTGGGAGGGGTGGTCGGTTTCATTTTGGCTTGCACGCTATACATACACGTTCAGTTTCATTTACATTGTGGAAGAGAGGTGAGAAGGAGAGAGGTAGGGAGGGGCTCACCTGAGTGATTGGAAGGACCAACCAGAGAACCAGAACAATCTTTGCCTCAAAGTAAAATGGCAGCCTAGGGGACAGAGAGCACATACAGGGCGGAGATTTAGTTAGACATGTGGCAATGAAGTTGGGGATTAGGAGAGCAGCATATGGACACAGCACCTTAAATGCTGGCAACAGGGAATGGTATACTGGCCCAACCTATGAACACTATAATACCCAGGCCTTACTGTGGAATAGAGTGGTAGAGCTATACTCAACTACTACCTGCACGTACCACGACAAGAACGTATCTGTCAGGACTTCCGCAGCCTGGAACATGGCAAAGACAATCCAATACATCATCCATTGTGTCTGTATGAAGGGGGGAGGTGAAGATTTGTGTCATAAGCTTACTGCATATTATTATACTGGCTTACGTATTCCCTGTGACTGCGTGCCCTCACGGCCTTGAAGGAGGAGTAGGCAGGGTAGAGGATTCCCGCCACCACTCTGGAGTAGAGAGGGAGAGAGAGAGAGAAGCGAGGACGCGTCTTCTTTACCCGACACCTCGACTGAACAGTGCTCTAGCGCACGGATCGCGAACTTCGACAAGAAGGTAGACTTACATGATAGCTCGCGAGATTGTGGCTGCTACCATAATCTCTTCTGGGAGCAGAGATCAGAACAAAAAGGACCTGCAAACTGCCTTGCTTTCTTGCCAGCTAGCCTCGTTGGATCTCCCGCGCGCCGCCGCACTGCACAGATGTTTTAATATTTTCCGGTTTGATCCCGTTTCGGATAATTAGACCATAAAAAGTCTGCGATCGAGCGCGCTTCGCTCGTCTCTGGAAGAGCTAAACTTCCCCCTCTGCCGGGCCTACGCAGTCGGTGGAGATCCGATGTACTACTTACAGGAGCTTCTCTTGCAAGGCACAGTGTCCTAGGACTGTCACGAGCTAGTCGCGTTCGCCGGAGGACCGACGGAGAGTTGTTTGTTCCACGGCGGCCCGAGGAAGCTAGGAGGTCAGCCAAGAGTTCCAAGTGCAGTGTGTGTGTCTCTGGGAGTACGGGGAGGGTCTGGAGCCAGCCGGCCAGCCGCCTGCGTGTGGGAGGCCGAGCCGCCAGCCGCCCCGGCGTTGTTTTGAGTGATGAGGTCATGGAAGAGCAATGCTCAGCTGTTTCCTTGCGTTTCCCTCCATTCTGTGGTCCGTCTTGTGAGAGACTCCTTTAGTCTGAGAAGCCTAAGGGGTGATGTGCTGTGTCTGAGCTGGCCATATGCTCCCATTGAGGCCCCATTGGCTCCAGCTGAGCTATTGTCTCCTTCCCTCCAGAGTGTTTGCAAACGACTGAGATGTGAACGATAACCTCTCTTTTTCTATCTTCTTTCTCCTTGCTCTGTCATCTTCTCATCATCCCTCTCTCCACTCTCTCTCTCTCTCTCTCTCTCTCTCTCTTCCATACATTCACAGAATGGAAAGTGTTGTAGGGAAGAGTGTGATTGTACAGGTCAGAGGTCAGCTGCTCCCAGCCGTCATCAGAGCCTGCACTGAGCCTCTCACTACACTAACATCTGACTTCTCTTTAGTTGACGTGAGCCTCCATTTACATACCTCCTGTATATAGTCAGTACAGATCACTCCACACTTTGGTCTGGTCTGGAGGAAATATATAGGCCTTGGAATCCTCTTGAAACCCCCCTCCTTCTCTTTCTCTCTTCTCCACATACCACATCCTGTTTTTTGGCAGGTATTGTTGGAGTGGGAGGGAGAGGGGGGAGAGGGGAAGGGGAGGAGGGAGTGGGTCAAGCTCTCCGATTCCTCCAAGTGTCAGGCACTCTATGTGGAGTCAAAGCTGCTGTGGGCCAAGAGAATCATCACCGCTGAGCAGCAGAGGAGAGCTGTTGCTTGGCCCTCCAAGGTCAGCCATTTCCTCTCTCTCTCTTCTCTCTCCCCTCTCGCTTTACCCTCATTTTTCGCTTTCTCCTCTCTTTCTTCTTCCCCCACCTTCTCCCCCCTCCTCCCTGAAGTGAGTAAGTCCTCAGTGTTTCTTCCCTCCCACTGTCTGCACCAGTCTTCCACCCTCTTACATCTCCATACACTCCCCATTCATCTCCGCTCCCTTTGATCTACCCAGGTCATAACCTTTGACCTCATTAGGAATGTGGCTTAAAAATCAATTTTCTCCCAGAGAGTGTAAAGTGGATTCATAGATGCGTGTGGGCAATCCTGGCTTTGTGGTGGTGCCTTTGCCCATTTCATGTCTGTTTACGGTATATAGCATGTAGTACTAGATCGGCTGATGCGCTGGCTCCCTCTGGTCCTTGTATTGGTTGTCTTGAGCTGATAACTGGATTATGAGTTGCCATATTGAACTCCTGCGAAGCGTGTCTGGCCCTTTTGCGTGTAGCTGAAGGCAATTTGGCAGCCAACCACTTGTTGTCGGTCGCTGGCAATTCAGATAACTACCGCAGGTCCCTTTTGTGTCCCAACCGGTTGTATATCTGTCTGCTTCTTCCTTCCTCCCCTCCCTCCCCTCCCTCTCCTCCCTCTCCTCTCTCTCCTCCCCTCTCCTCCCTCTCCTCCCCTCTCCTCCCTCTCCTCCCTCTCCTCCCCTCTCCTCCCTCTCCTCCCCTCTCCTCCCTCTCCTCCCTCTCCTCCCTCTCCTCCCTCTACCAGTCTTTCAGCCTACTCTGCAGTAATGAACAACAGTATCCAGAGATCATGATAGTCGAGTATTTCTGCGACAGAGAAAGGTGAGAGTGTGTGGGACACCCTCCACTAATTAACTTGGGTTTCACCTCATCATTGTGGATGCCTGCATTTCACCACCCTCCCCCCTCTCCCCCCTCTCTCCCTCCCCTCTCTCTCCCTCTCCCTCTACCTGGGCAGAGTGAGACTGTATGTGCAAGACTCACTCAAAGAGACAAAGGAACTGCACCTCTCAGAGGCAAAGGGGACTCTAATAAGCCATCCCTACCTGTTGGCCGTTCTGGAAGAGTGGGAGGAGTCTCACAGAGACCACGCCCTCTTGGTCGGCGGCCAAGCCAATCTCACTGGTCAGGCGGTCAGCATATGCAACACTCAGGGGGCGTGGCCTCGCTGGATTAATGGCATCATCACTTCACACAACCAACAGACAAAGGTACTAGAATTCCCCAGCCTAGAGTTAGTCAAAATGTGACATTTTACTGTTTGCTGTCCATGATGAATGATTGCTCAGTGAAAAATTACGTTGTGTAGCAGGGCCAAAATTATTACTTGCCACCATGTTTGTTTGTCGCTATGAAGTATCACATGAGCTGTCACATGAGCTGTCACATGATGTTGTACAGGAGCTGACGGTGCAAGAGGAGAGGTCTCAGGCAGTTCGTATGGTGAACCCACTCCTGGTGCACGTCGTTCTGAGAGCAACTGGAGGAGGTGAGGGAGGAGATGGGAGTCTCCAGAGAACCAACTCACACGGACTACAACAGGTCAGCCAGACCCTCTCTCATCTCTCTCATAACCCTCAGACCAATATTAATGTTTCCACAATCAACCTTTAGTGAACAGTTTTGCTGCACAGTTGTTAGAACAAATGTGTGTTAAGTTACGCAACAGATATTTGAATTTTGTTAACCCTCGGAGCACATATGTGCTATAGAAGACCAGCTGTAGCACCTACAGTCTCAACTGTTCAGTATTGTAAAGACAATGGCTCCATCTCTTGCTCTAGATGTCGTCACACATGAGTAATCCAGACCTTCTCCTGGACAGCAGTGGAGACTCCGCCCTCCTCAGCCCGCACCTCCCAAGCCCCGCCCTGCAAGAGACGACCAGTCCCATCTTCCCCGCCCTCTCCTCCTCCATGTCGCCCGTCACCGCCTACCGCACCCCCTCCATCGACCTCCACCGACGCTCCAGTCTCCAGACAGCGGAAGCCTCGCGCATGTCTGAACCCAATATCTTCCGTCGCAGCTCTCTGGACCAGCAGAAGATGCTCTTCAGCTACCACCAGGAGGGGAACGCCTACACCAGCCCCCTCGTTCACTCCCCAACCTCCATGATTCTGGGGGTCCCCAGGGGCTCCGCCACCATGAACCATCTTACACAGGACCCCTCGGGTCTGGCGTCCCCCCAGACCCCCCTGGCGGCTGCAGAGAGGTCTAAATCTCTGGAGAACATCTCTCACTCCCTTCAGCCCATGCCCAGCCACCCGTTCAAGAGGAGGATGAGTGCTCAAGTCCCTCTGGCCAGTGCCTTTCCCAGCAAGAGACCGAGGTATCTTACTTTACCTCCTCCCTACTCATCTCTTAATCCCCTCTCCCTACTCTGCAGGTATGACATGGTTCAGTCCACCATCAGAGGAGATCTTCGGTCGTCCCCAGAACCCGCCCTCCCCTCCTCTCTCCATCGCTCCATGTCCCTCTCCGCCCTCTCCCGTTGCTCCCAACACCCCTTCGGCCTGGGTGGGCGGGGCCGCCACTCCACCTCCGATAACCATGACGACGAACTAGACATGATCAAGGAGATAATTGACAGGGATGACAGTCTCGTTGGCCACCAGCACTCACTGACGGGCCTCCCTGCGGAGCTGAGTGTGTCTCTCCCCGTCTTGTACCCGTCTGAAGGTCTCCAGGTCCTGCACGCCTACAACAGCGCCCCTGTAATTGCACACACCTCCTCTGCCCCGCCCACTGGACACGCCCCCCACAAGCCCAATACATCCATGGCAGACTCACTCCTTCCTCCCGGTCTCATGTCGGGTCTGAACGGAGCCATCTCTGACTTCCTCACGGACACTCTCCCTTCTCACAAGGACGGGTTCGGGTTCTCCTCTGACCTCTTCTCTTTCTCCGCCCCTCACTCCGCCTCCAACACCCTCCATCAGTACACACAAAACCTATCATCCGGTGCTTCCGCCCACCCCACCCCTTCTGACTCCACCCAATCGTCAATTGACCATGAGAACAAGCCGTCGTCACTTACTAATTTTAACCCTGGGAACACCAGACTTCCAACGCCGCACCCCCAGTCGCCAACCCTCTCCGAGATGCTTCAGACCACGCCTGACTCTGCCTCTTCCTCCTCCCTCCTTCGCTCTGCTCTCTCTGCACCAGTCTTCCCCCCACCGTCCTCCTCCTCCTCCACCTCTCTGGGTGACAGGAAGACAGAGCCAGCGCAGGTGGCCGGAGACCCTGAGGTGTTGTGTCCTGGTGGGACGGGGAGGAGGAGGAAGAGGAAGGAAGGAGTCATGGTGGTCGACGCAGGAGAGGGAGGAGGGGGAGAGGTGGTAGGGGACGGAGGAGAATTGGACATTGCTGTCATTGTTAACCAGCACGCCGGTGTCACCAGCTCGGCTGAAATCTCTCCTGAGGTTAGCTGCATCCACTTACCATTTTATTTCAGTGGCCCCCTACCTTTACAACTGCGTTTGTGCAAACTGATTAAAACAAGATTGCAAACAACTCAAATAAACTCCAAAGCTGCCGCACATGCATACACAAACACACACAGTGACGGGGCCTGGAACACGAAATGTATAAAATGGTGCGTTCCTTATTTGGCCTGAGAAGAAGACTATAAGTTACAGGAATGGGAGTATCAGTTAGTGCAGGCAGGGCCTGGGGGGACTGAACCAGTGGCTGTGTCACTCTAGCCAGTTGTAGATACACTTACTCCTTCATGACAGGGTAACTTCTGTTCCCTTTGCTGTGTGAGCCGTGAGAAAGTGTTTGGCCTGCAGGTGTTGTTGAAGCATTTGCTTTGCCTCTGCCTTGCTACCTCTATTGCTGTTTGCATCTTATAGTGTTGATACTGTTGACCATGTCTGACACTGTGTCTGTGTGCGTGTTGTGACTCAGGAGGGATCAAGAGGGGACAGTGGGGAGGGATCTGAGAAAGAGAGCGGGGGGAGGGGCAAGTCGGCCAGGAAGGTGGCAAAGGAAACGAAAGGCAGAGCCAAGAGAGGGCGGGGCCGGCCGCGACTGACGGAGGAAGAGAAACAGCGGAGGAAGGAGTTGAGGGAGCTGGGGCTGATGAAAAGGAGTCATCGGAGGACCAAAGAAGGCAAGCAACTCCACTACTGTACTACATTACATGTCCATTACTCTAGTCTTTCTCTTGTTTGCCCCCAACCAGAGGTGGCCCAGTGGAGGGCAGAGAGGATCCTGTCGCCAGCCAAGAGAGGCCGCAAACCAGGCTCCGGGAAGAAGAACGTGGTTAAGGCAGTCACGGGGAAAGAGGTGTACGTGACAGTGGATCTGTCCAAGTACGAGCCGGGGACGGTGCTGCTCCAGAACGGCTTCTGCCGGGCGTTCCCAGGCATGCCTCGCTGCATGGAGTGCGGGACGTGTGAGGGAGACCTGCCTTCTAACCGCTACTGCAGATTTCTGGAGTTCAGAAAGTGAGTGGGTGCTGGTGCGGCAGGAAGGAGAGAGGGTGAGGTGAAATGAGAGAGACGGAATGCTGTTATGATATATAATTTCAATGTGGGGGTAAATGTATGACTTCAAAAAACTATGTATCGGGTAATGTGAGTAGCAAATGGCCCGAGGGTATTACTGAAGCCCTACCTTAATTATAAGAGGGTCTTCCACACACGGAACATAAGGCATGTCTGCGCGCGGCTTCCACTCAGACCTTAGTTTTACTCCACAATGAGAACCAACGCTGCCTTCCCCTGTGCAGAATCCATATCTATATAGCTGCTAGTATATGGAGTGCGTGTGTATACGATAGCTCCTTGGAGGGAGACTGAACCAGTTTATTCTCTCTGCAGAATCCGTATCTTGGACACAGCAGAGCCCAAACTGCAGGTGGAAGGGTTTGCCAACTACACCGACGTCCAGGTGTCAGACCTGGTCCCCTGGACACCTCTCAAGGCTGGCTACAGTCACGTGGACACTGACTCGGCCCTCTTCATCTCCAGAGAGTGGCTCAGCAGTTCCTGGGTGTGGTGGCCAGCGAGGCCTCCACACTTCCTGACGGAGAAGGTCAGTCTTATCTCGCTGTCCTGTCACAATCTCGTATCTCACCTCATGGACGAGATAAAACTTCTCTCTTCTCTCTCCCTCAGTGACTCCGGTGTGGAAGAGAGCAGTGCAGGGGCTGAGGGAGATCTGTGACACGTGCGACACAGCCATCTTCAATTTCCACTGGATCTGTCAGCACTGTGGGTTCTGCGTGTGTCCTGCCTGCTACCAGATGGCCTGGGATCTTGAGGAAGGTGACAACTCTTCCTTCTCCCTCCTCTCCTATTGCATCTCACTGCAGTGACTAGTTGTAATGTTCTTACGGCATTAAAACTAGGTTGGCGTCGAAAACATACCTAAAAATAAAGTAACTTCCGTCTACAGACTAATTAATCTAATCTGGCACAACTGAGCAATCTTCATACTTCCCACTAAAATTAGTTGCCACAGTTACGTAATTCATTCCCTCTGATTTGCAGGATACGATGTTCCAAGTTTGTCTCACAGAGGCTGGCCGCCGTGTACCACCGGCACCCTCCCCCACCTCCCCTCCTCCCTCATTGTGGCTCAGATCATTCCCGCTGACGGTGAGTCCTCCCTCTCACATGACCTCACATGACTGTCATGTGATTTCCCAGTCCTATCAGATGTGCTGTTGCGAATGTTGAAGGTCTGTGAGACTCACCATATAAGGCAGGAGGTGCCACGCCCACTCCAGACGATGATCAACCTAATCAGTCGGCAGACGCCTCAGTCGAGATTTCCACAACAGTCGCAAGGGGAAGGGCTCGAAACATGGCAGTGGAAGACCCAGTGTATGTCCGATCTGTTACTATGTTCTTCTGCTAACAACACACAGAACCTTAAGTAAGGCTCCCTACCATTATATTGGATGCCATGAGCAGACGCGCTTGGTTGTGGTTTATGACATTACAGTATGGTGCCATCAAGGTGGTATTCAGAGGATGTATTGTATATTGACTTGGTGTAGTTACACTGGGTAACTGGACTCTTCTCCTCTGTGGCAGGTGGACTCTGCAGGAGGTGGATGCAACGAGAGCTCCCTGGAATCACCCCCCGAGCCCCTCCACCCCTCCATCCTGGACACCTCTCCTCGTCCCCTCCCCTCCTCCTCTTCCTCCTCCTCCACGGCGGCCAACGGACGAGAGGAGGTTGTCTTCCCGAGTGGCGTGGCTCACTCCTGGCTCTGTAACAACACCCTCCTCTGTCTCCATGACCCCTACCACCCCGACAACATGGCCGCCTTCCAGCACCAGTGGAGGGAAGGCAGGGTATGTGTGTGAGGGAAAAACCCTCCTTTATTGCACACACACAACACACACACACACACTCTTTACTAAAGATTGCAGAACGTGTGCTCACAAATCGTGTTCAGTAGTTTCTGAAGAAGGCTAGTTAGTGCCAGCAATTGCACAACCCTTGTTTTTGTAGAGAGATTTTCGCAAAGGTTCCTGGCACCCATGGACCCCAGAGATTACTAGAATTATTCAATTGAGAAGGTCAATAGGTTCCTGGCACCCATGGACCCCAGAGATTACTAGAATTATTCAATTGAGAAGGTCAATAGGTTCCTGGCACCCATGGACCCCAGAGATTACTAGAATTATTCAATTGAGAAGGTCAATAGGTTCCTGGCACCCATGGACCCCAGAGATTACTAGAATTATTCAATTGAGAAGGTCAATAGTTTCCATTCATTGCACTGTCACTGCAATATCTAACTCAGTCCAATTTGTCCCTGCAGCCAGTGGTGGTGGCTGGAGTAAACCGGGGTCTCACTCCAGACATGTGGACTCCACAGTCCTTCAGTAGAGACTTTGGCGACGACTACTCCGAACTCGTCGACTGCATACGAAGCGTCCCGCTGCCCCACTTCCCCAGCAACGTCTTCTGGGATGGCTTTGAGGACATGAGTTGCCGCCTCAGAGACCCCGCCTCCGGAGAGCCACGCCTACTGAAACAGAAGGACTGGCCACCGGGAGAAGACTTTTGTGAGAAGTTGCCAAAGAGGTCAGTTGGTGTACTTACACAGCTAGTCTTCTATGTCTAGTGGCAGTTCGTTGAATTTTTATGTCGATAATGCATTCAGACGCACTATTTTGAGCAAATATTTTTGGAAAACTGAGCACCTGTGCTCTTAGCTACATTTTAGCTACTCACAAGATGTGTCCATACTACTGTGCTGGTAGCAGTGACTGTCTTTTCACGGCAGGTTTGAAGACGTAATGGCTGCGTTGCCTCTACCTCACTACACCAGGAGAGACGGGAAACTAAACATGGCCTCCAGTCTTCCCGACTTCTTTGTCAAGCCTGACATGGGCCCCAAGATGTACAACGCCTATGGTGAGATGTGTGTGTGTGTGGGTTGATCTAGGTGATGTATGTATGGTGATGGTGATGTAATGTATGGTGATGTTGGACACACTCACTATTATGCAGGCTCCCCAGCCCACCCCTCCTGTGGCACCACAAACCTTCATCTGGACATTTCTGATGCTACTAATGTCATGGTGAGCCTTCGCCTCTCCCTCTCTCCTTCTCCATTCTCCTCCTCCATTCCCTCCTCCTCCTGGTATATAGGTGTACTGCAGTGTGGCAGTGGGGGCAGAGGAGGACGAGGAGATGATCAGAGAGACAGTAAAGAACGAGTGTTGTGAACAGACCTACTGGAGATGTACCTCATCAACCCCCCTCACAGTGGTTGGCACGCTGCTGTTTCCATTCAAACCCAGCATTAAACCGACATGTCTTACTGGTGCAGGGAGCCATGTGGCACATCTATGCTGCCGGGGACACGGACAAGATCAGATCATTTCTCAGTAAAGTAAGTTCCACCGGAAACTCATTCCTAGCTTGGCAATTGTGCTAATTTGCTGGCTGCACTTTACAAAAATTCTATCATTTCCCACAATGTGGTATACACACCTCTCCAAGGACAGCATGCAGAAGAATAAAGACACGTCACTTGTTCTGGCTATATAATTATTAGTGTCCGGATTAGAGGAGTTCCACTGCATGTGCCCGTATGACTGTATTGCGCAATGTCTGGTTCCCATGACAACCAGGTGCTGGAGGAGAGAGGTGTCCAACAGATCCTGGGTACGGATCCGATCCACGACCAGCTAATCTACCTGGACTCTGACCTCCGGAGAAGACTGCATCAGGAGCACGGGGTGCAGGGCTGGGCCATTGCGCAAGCTGTTGGAGACGCCATTTTTATTCCTGCAGGGGCTCCCCATCAGGTTCTGACCCCATCTTCAAATAGTTATCACTTCACACATTTTTTTAATCGGCTTACAGTGTGTCCTGCAATTCAGTTACCCACACCTACTATAGTGGGCACTCTGTTCATAGCCTTGGTCACGTAAATTGCAACTCTTGTAAAAAATGCGGTGTGTGCAGTGGGGGTCTGAAAATGGAGCCATTGTGTTGGCTCACAACCATTCACCAATTAGACTATGTCAACAGTTACATACGTAACAAATCACAAGTCTCCTTTGCTCGGAATATCTCAGTAACTTCTCTCTTTCTCTCACCCTTTGTCTCTGCCGCAGGTCCGTAATCTGTGCAGCTGCATCAAGGTGGCCGAGGACTTCGTCTCGCCAGAGGTGAGTCCCCTTAGGCCACACCCACTCCCTGTCAGCCTGGCCCCTCCCCCCACAGCACGTTCAGGAATGTGTCAAGCTGACCGAAGAGTTTCGACTTCTCTCAGACAGACATGTTAATCACGAGGACAAGTTACAGGTCAGAGTTCAAGTGTCTTTGTCCCTCCCCTCTCATAAGAGTATTTCTCCGCCTTCCCTCCTCCTCCCACCATCTGTCTTCAGGTCAAGAACATCATGTACCACTCGGTAAAGGACGTAGTGGGAATTCTCAGCTCATCTGTCAAATAGCAAACGGCTCTGTTACCACACGACACTCTGTGTCTCTATGTTTTTGTCCGTCTTTTCCGTCGGTTTCATTTTATGTACAACTATTCTCCAACTCCAGCTGCACACTTGGACCTCCAAGTTATTATTCATGTATAAACATCCAACCAACATATACTTTCAGATTCCAAACTTGTAAACTGCTAGTATACTAGTGCACAGCTCAGTAAACTACACGTCTGGTCTATGGCGGGTCCATCATCATTACTTCAAACATTCAATATTAAAAAGGTATATAAATAATGACTTATAGCGATACAACAAGTACACATCACAGAACGCAAGACATGAGTTGACGCTATTTCTTTGGCAGAAGAAATGGAGGAAGAGAGAGGGAGGGAGAGAGAGAGAGAGAGAGAGAGAGAGAGGGGGAGACTGAACAAGTGTGAGCATGATTTCTTTACTGATGATGACTGTCCAATGTAAAAAGTTGCCAGAACAAATCAAAAACTGCAGTCTCAGAGTATAATATGCTGTGAGACAGTGTGTGTGTGTGTGATGGTGGGCTCTATTTAGCACTGGTGAGTGCCGGACTGGGGTGAATGGAAGAGGTGGAGGGTAGCGAGAGGTCAGGGGGCGTCCAGGAAGTGAGGGAGGGAGGGACCAGAGTGGCTGACAGGAACGCGGGGTCTGGAACACAGGTGGGTGGGGCAGTGGGTGTGGTCTCACAGGAGCTGTCCGAGGAGCCGTAGTGAGCCGGGGAAGAAGAGGAGGGTCCTCCGGGGGCAGGCAATGTGTTGTCAACTCTCATTATCATCCGCTCGTCCAACCCTGGCACCAGATCGTCTGCAGGGGGTGGGGCCAGGGACATTCAATATGCGAGACCTGTACAAGGCTCCCTAATGAGGCTAATGAGGAGCGTTTGCCGCAAGAATGCAAAAGTGGCCACAGCTAATCAACGACTGATGTCACGTCCACTGCACCAGCTAGTTGCTGTGGCAGCATGAGGGACAATGGTAAATAAAGGGTTTCAGGTGCCAAATTGGATTCCCGGGAACTGCGAGACTATGCCAATCATGGAGCAGAGGCTTCAAAAGAGTGGTAATTCTACAGAGAGGGACTGAGGGGGGTTGGGGACATCAGACTGGGTTAACAGCGAGACTGTTCTCAAAAACAAACGGAACCACACGCGCAGGTCAGCCATGGCTACCGCTAGGGATCCTAATTGGTTCCACCACAACACAACAACAGACACACACTGAACACGCACACACACACAGACACACACAACAAACATGTGGTAACAGAGAGAGTGTTGTACCTGCAGCCTGGAGCAGGGTGGTTGCCTCGGCAGCGACCATGATAAACTGGCTCCGAGAGGCTGGGCTATGCTGCGGAGGCTTCATCTTCTTGGACGAGGAGGAGGAAGAGGAGGAGGAGAGAGGAGAGGGCTGCCTGGGGGGTTTCTCCTGGCAAGGGGTGAGAGTTACAGAGCAGGGAGGGAGCGAGTGAAGAGGAGGAGGGGTGGACACAACCTGCAGTGACTGTAATCGGCACTGCAGAGAGAGAGAGGTACAGTCAACGAAGTGTCTTTCCCTCACAGATGGCGTCCTCCTACCTGCCATCTGATGGCTGAGTACTGTCAGCTGGTCTACCCACTGGTTTGTTAGAGATGCTAAAGAGAGAAAATGTTGAGGTCATGTGACTTTAGAGATTGATCATGTGATCTGTGTACTACCTGTGGTGGGTGTGGCACTGCAGGCAGGTAGTGTCTCCTGGAGTGCGGTGTCCACCATTCCAGCTCTCTGCAGGTGCAGGGAGGAGAGGGAGGGAGTTAATAGAAGAAGCGGTTAAGGGAATAAAGAAAGAGAGACGGGGAGAGGGGGTGTGAAAGAGAAGAGACAGAGAGGTGGAAACCTTACTGAGAGCAGAGCGTGGACAGCTGGAAGAAGACCCAGGTTGGTGATGTTCATTGTCAGACCCTTGTCGTCCTGCACAGCGTGTGAATGGACATCAATTACTCTGGCGCCCTGCCCCACTGGCGTGCCACATGCTCCCCAGCCACAATATTGGCCTGTACCCTCGGCCCGCCGGCTCAGGTCTCCCCCCCAACACAAACCAGTTTCCCAGGCCAGTCAAACAGGTCGCGGACCAAACAAACCTGAAACAAATGGAGAGACTCACCACAAATCCGGCCAGAGAGTTGCGGGGGATGAACTCCTGACTCTCTCTGATGATGAAGAACCAGGAGACGATGCGTGGCTTTTCCTCAGGACTGAAGTCAACCAGTAGAGAGCCGATCGTACACACCTGAGATCAGACAGGAGAGAAAGGAGAGGAGGAGAGGAGGAGAGAGTAAGACATCATCTACATCATCTTGCAGGTATTCTGGGGTACCGAGGTGGTTTACTCTGCTGCTGGTAAGCTACCAAGTTTGTGGGTCTCAAATATGGCGTCAACACCTTCATTCGATCACGTTTCTCTCAAAGAAAGAGGCAAAATTTGTTTGCTGTTTTCCCAAAAAAAGATACGATGTTGAAACGTGCATCAATCTTTGATGTGTGTGTGTTTGAAGCAAAAGAGATTGTATCTTTCCCAGATTTTGTTCTGTCACAATGGACCAGCCACGCACCATAATGCATCACCCAGATATCAGGACTTTATTTTTGAAACGTTTCCCAAAAAGATTCACTGTTTTTGAAATGTCCGCAAATGATTTGTTTACATTCAGTGGTGGACAAATAATAATCATAGTGTGTGTGTGTGAGGAGAGAAGGGGGTGGTGTGATTTGTGGAGCTGATAAAATTCCCATTGATAATTGTGATGATGGCGGAATTGAAAGTGATTACCAATGACATCATTGACATCACAGACAAGGAGTAGAGAGATAAGCCAGCTGCACAGGGGGTAGGTTCAAAGGTCGTCATAAACATAGGGCAAATCATCCAACCAGTGCCACCTGTTGTGGTCTGGTGAAGATCAGCCACAGCCACAGTTGGTATTCATGAAACACTGAACTTTCACAAGCGGGTGTGTGTGTGTGTGAGCTAGTGTCCCAGATTCAGCTCCTTTGCTCCCCCACAAAATCTGCCCTTAGGGCAAGACAGAGTATGTATATACCTCTAGCAAGTGCAGTAAAACACCTCAATACCATGGAGTAAATGATTCAGAAAATCAAAGTTATCGTGTGAGGTTGTCGGAGCTTCCACAGTATGATAATATAGTGTCGTGTGAGCGGAGCTTCCACAGTATGATAATATAGTGTCGTGTGAGCGGAGCTTCCACAGTATGATAATATTAGTGTCGTGTGAGCGGAGCTTCCACAGTATGATAATATAGTGTCGTGTGAGCGGAGCTTCCACAGTATGATAATATAGTGTCGTGTGAGCGGAGTTTCCACAGTATGATAATATAGTGTCGTGTGAGCGGAGCTTCCACAGTATGATAATATAGTGTCGTGTGAGCGGAGCTTCCACAGTATGATAATATAGTGTCGTGTGAGAGGTGATCAGATTTGTTACGCTGCAACACACACATAACAACCGCACTCCTATAGACACACACTGATGAGGTTTGTTAAAATTTTCCAAGTTGTGCGTTCAGGTCTTACACAGTGCTATAAGGTGTGTGGGGGGGGGGGGGGGGGGGGGGGGGGGGGGGGAGGGTGGGTAGTGGGGGGGGGGGGCGGTGGGGGGGGGGGGGGGGTGTGTGGGTTTTTTTTGGTTTTTGTTTGTGGGGTTATTGTGTTTTTTTTTTTGTTTGTTGTGGTGGTTGGTGTTTGTTATTTTTGTGTTTTTTGTTTTTTTGTTCATTTTTTTGGTTTTTTTGTGTTTTTTTGTTTTCCGATTGTTAAGCGTGTCCGCATTTTATCTTGTGTTGTCCTTATTGTACGCTCAACTTTATCAACCAGTAGATCAGAAAAGGCTTCCTGTAGCAGCTAGGGAGTAGGTTTTACCACAGCAGAGTGGAGCTGTTGCAAGCAGTGAGGTATATAGGCAGGCCAGTCACTCCAAGTCTGCACATTCCACCCACTTCTCACAAAGCGGCCACAGCACCACCCTTCCTCCGCCTGCGCCGGGTCGGGGGATCAGGTGTCACTCCGCCATGTGCTGTGAAACTTGAGTAAGTGGTCGAGTGGCGT